AGGGGCAGTAGTGAGGCTTGGAAGGGTCAGCTGAGTGGGGGAGAAGAGGCAGTTGAGGAGGGACGGGGAGCAAGGGATAGTAATGGGGGGAGGGGGAAAGAATAAGTAGTTGTGAGGGGGAGGGGAGAACGGAGCAGTTGTAGCAAAAGAGAAAGGGCAGTTGGGGGCAGAGGAAGGAGCAGTTGTGGGCAGAGGGAAAGGCACAGGCGTGGGGGACAAGAAGAGGCAATTCAAGAGTGTGAAGAAGAGGGGCCAATTGCGACAGTTATGTGGGGAAGCAACTGTGAGGGGAAATTTGCCCACCAGTAATCAGTTTGAGGAGAAGCCCCTATGGTATTCCCAGTAGTAGAATGGATCCCAGGGTAGCAGGACGGACCCTCCTGGGGTCTGCTGTGTGGGATCATGGGCAGAGCCCCGTGGTAAGCACTCCGGAGGCTTCAGTGTGAGGCAGAACACGACTTGATGCTTCCCTGGAGGCTGATAGAGGAAGCCCGTTGTCCTAGTTGGTTTTATTGATTTGTTGGCCTAACAGAACATTTTCCTTGGAGCAAAGTACAAATCCTTCAAGTTTGAAATTCATAACCTATGATCAATCCTGTGGCAGCCTGTGGAGATGAGGAAGGAAAGCCACAGGTGGCTGTCAGACTATAGCTGAATGAAGAGGGAATGCCCAGCAAGTCCAATGTAGCCATTGGGATTCTGAACAGCTGCCAGAGGTGCCCACTTCCGGTCATACTACTTTTCTTAGAGGCACCATTGGCCTTCCTCAGGCTCTCATCTCCTTTCCCCCATTACACAGTGTGAAATTTATTATTGAGTGACTTTTGTCTTTCCTTTTCCTTTCTGTTCTGAGGCTGTTTGCAGTCAAATGATCTTGATCTTCCTTACCATTTAGCACAAACTCAGCCAACTTCGCTAAGAAACCTTCTCAGTGTACACAAAATGGGATTTTTGCCTCTCAGCAGTTTAACACTAAAGAGACATGCGTGGCAAATACTGTTCTTTGTTTAAGGCTGTTGCAGATTTTAGTGTGGGTAGGAGGAGCATTTTCCCACTTAACTGGGAAAAAGGAAGAAGATACACAGGAAAATCATCATGATTTGCTCCAGTGACTTGACAGTGACAAGGGGTGGGGAAAATGGGGATAGTCTTTCCTTCGTGGGCCTTCTCTCATTTACCCAGGGTTTGGTAGGGCAGAATGATTTGATTTCTTGTTTTGTTTTGTTTTTGTGCTTGTGAGGCAGGTGGCGGAACCACTGAGCTAAATTCCTGACTGGGCAGAGTGATTTGAGCAACCACATCTCAACTTGGTAGAATTTTTCCTGATTATCTTATATTCTCCATACTCTGGATGAGATAGAGATTCCTAAACCTTTATTAATAGGGTATCCTATCTTTAACCTCCATTTAGTCCTAATGTTTTGAGAGACATTTATTTTTAATTAAATACTACAAAGAAAGTGGAGTATCCCACTAAAAGAAGCAAGAACTCCAAGGCCCTTTTTCTTTTTTTGCAGTGCTGGGGATCAAACCCAGAGTCTCCCACATGCAAGGAAGTACTTGACCACTGAGCCATATTCCCAGCCCTAAAGACCTGTATTGAGAGTATAGACCTCTAATGGAGAGCAGGTTACAAGGCCCCTAGAAAAGATGATCATTTTGGAGTCTCACTCAATTTGCAAATCCAAAAGGGACAGTAGTGAGAGGCTAGGAGTAGTGTTATCAGGAGACTGGGTTGGAGGTGGATCCTGATGGTGGACTACCAAAATCTATCTACCTGCAGGTTTCACCTGCACAATGTCAAGCAAAGCTGAGAAAAAGCGGAAGGTGACTAACCGGGTAGGCCCCCGGACACCCAGGGAGGTGCAAGCCGCTCAGCCCACCCTGGACACACAGGCTACTGAGAGCATCCTGTCTGCCACTGAGCCTGAGTCTGAGCCTGAGCTGCCCAAGGAGGAGACTGGTGGGTATTTACTGGGACAGGGGATACTTAGATATGGAGGGTAGAGAAAATTTGAGGGGCTCGGGGACAGAATGTTTGTATGTCAGGAGGGTCTTGGGCCCAGCAGGTTCTCTTACTTCTGGGCAGGAAGCAGATGCTATGTGACTGTGACTGACCCCTGCTGTGAGGGCTCAGCAGAACCTCTGCTTTGCTGCTGGATCCCTTTTTTGTCTGTCTTCCTCCTGGCCAGCCTTAAAATTTCCCACCACTGCAGCAGGAGTTCAGTAGCCAATCCTTTTCTAGTCTCTTCCTCCTTATTTCAAGTGTTCCTGGTTGCTCTCACCCCACCGCAGAGAGTTTGATCTCTTCCTTTTTCCCATTTTCACCCTGGGTGGCAAAACAAATAATGTTTTTCTCCCATTAAGCCCATCACCATGGAGACCCAGCCTGCTTTGCCACCCTTTGAATCCTAAGCCCGGCTGATGCTTTCTACCATCTGTTGAAGGCTCCTGTATCTCCGCCCTCATTTTGGCAGAGACTTGGTAGACTGCGGAGGTTCAGGTTCAGGGTGACAGGAAAAGAAGTCTAGATGGAGGGAGCAAAGAGTTTAAAGAGGCTGCCTTTTGTGGCTTTGATCCAAGAGCCAGTAGGGTTGAAAGGTTTTTGGTAGCTGTTGCTTTCAGTGGATTTTTCCTTAGAGCACTGGTCAGTGTGGAGAGGACTGTGAGCTAAGTAGAGACCTTACTTTTTATCTTGGGCACCTTGACAATGCTAATGGCCTGTAAACATGGAGAGAAATAGACCCCCTGCCCCCAACTGTTTTTTTTTTTTAATACTAGGGACTGAACCCAGTGTGTGCCAGGCAAACACTTCATCAGTAAACTACATCCCCAGCCAGAATATCCCTTTAATATATCTATATCTATATCTATCTATATCTATATCTTTTTTTTTGGTATCGGGGATCAAACTCAGGACCTTGTGCTTGTGAGTCTGGCGGCGGCACCACTGAGCTAAATCCCTGGCCATCGCTTTAATATTAATAGTTAGGATCTTAAGTGAGGGTGTGGGAGAAAGAAAGGTTCAGGGACATTAGAACCTGCCCTTTGATCCAGGACTTTTGACATGGGCAGCACTTTTTCTCAATTTTCAAGTGCTTGGCTGAAAGCAGTTTAAATTGAGACTGGCCCCTAAAAGCTGCATTCCAGTTGGAGTAGGAAGAAGTGGGAGAGAAGGTAGGTAGGTTTAGTTTGGTTCAGTTTGGTTTGGAGAATCCTCTGGGGATCAAAAGAAGAACCGTTTAAATGAATGCTTTGTCCTCCAGGCCCCAGAATCTCTGCTTCTGCCAGCTTTCAGAGTTCTTGTTGTTTTGTATGGAGCCATCTAGCTGCCCAGTAGACCAGGTAGAGGTTCAGAGAGAACATGGGCCTCCCAGGCAGCTCTGAAACTAAGACTAATCCATTAAAGGAATCACGGAGGGGATGAGACCTGTCCTGAGACACTGCTTGGTAAAAGACTGCAGATTTTGGAACAGACAGACTTTTTTCTTTCCTTTTTTATGGAGCTGAGGATGGAACCCAGGGCCTCTTGCTTGCTAAAAATATACTCTTTGCCCCAAAGTTACACCTGTAGTCCTGACAGCCTTTTGAGGTCCATATATATATATATATATATCTATCCTATACTTTCTTATATACTCTTCAATTTCCACTACAAGCAGAATCCTAGCCAGATATGGTGGTCCATGCTTATTTCAACATTTGGGAGGCTGAAGTGGAAGGATCACCATGAGTTCAAAGCCAGCCTGGGCTATGTAGTGAGTTCAAGGCCAACCTGAATTTGAGACTCTGTCCAAAAAAAAAAAAAAAAAAAAATCCTATCCAAGGATTGTAATTCCTTTCCTGTAATTTTCAAAAGCTCTAACAATTGCCACACCTGCTGCCAAAGTTTGGCATCTAAACTTATTTGGTGGTAAAACCTAACCTAAACCGATGTGAAAATATTTACAATCTGTAAAAGCCACTTAATATAAATATTCATATGTTTTACTGCAGAAATATTTATTATAGTAAAAGTCTGATGGTGAGATATTGTTCTAGAGCTGGCCAGGGTTGGGATGGGGACTGCGCACCATACATTATTTATTATATTACAGTCCTAACTTCTTTTCTTTCTTTCTTTCCTTTTTTTTTTTTTTTTTGTACCAGGAATTGAACTCAGGATCTTGCACTTGCTGCACAGGTGCAGAGCCACTGAGCTAAATCCTTGGCCCTCTTTTCTTGGTTTTTCTTTTTATGGTTCTGGGGATTGAACCAAGGCCCTTGGTCATGCTAGGCATGTTCTCTACCACTGAACTATATCCCGAGTCCCTTACAATTCTAATTTTGTTTTTGTAGTATTGGATCGAACTTAGGCCATTGTGCATGTGGGGCAGGCATGGCGCCACTAAGCTAAATCCCCAGCTACCATTCTAAATTTTGAAATAGGTTTAACACCAAGGGTCTTAGATAAGGGGTTGTAGGCCTCTATTTCAGGCAGAACATAAAATATGTAGAAGAAATATAACAACACCTCAAATCCTGAAAGTTATCAATAAATTCCTTGGGTTGCTTTCCCCAGGTCGTACTATCCTTCTTCAGAGGTCACTGCTGTTTTATGTTGGAACTTATCATCCTCAAGACTGATTCTTACTTATTTATTTAGTACTGGGAATTGAACCCACAGTCTTCACACTGAGCTATATCCCCTACCCTTTAAAATGTTTTGAGACAGAGTCTTGCTACATCACTAAGTTGCCCAGGCTTGGCTTGAACTTGTGATCCTCTAGTGTTAACCTCCCAGAGTGCTGGGATTGCTGGCATGCACCACTATGCCTGGCTCTTATTTTATTTTATGGTACTAGAATTGAACCCAGGGCCTTCTGCATACTGTGTGGGTGTACTACCACTGAGTTTACTATGCTGTCACTCCTCCTAGCCCAGTTCCTGTCTGAAATCTGGAATGCCAGCAGTTTTCCCAAGAGAGCTGGCTCATCCCACTCAGCACCACATTCCTGGAATCTTATTCCCTCTTTCCACCACTTCCTTCTTCAGCCTGTAGCTTCATTTTTTCCCTTAGTATTCCTTTATGGAAATCAGGGTGTCCTGTTCCTCAGGATCTTTCAGTTCTATTTCATTTGTTCCTTTCTTCTTTTGGCCTTCTCCCCACCATGGGAAACCTAACACTTTTACCCTAATCTCTAGGTGGGGAGGCCTCCTGTGTTTGTGAGACTCTAGAACAGGCATGGCAGAATTGAGTGCCCATCAGTCTGGGGGACAGGAAAAGGTCTGATGCCTGTGTGCCTCAACTTCTCCATGTGGGAAGGGGATTGGGGAAGAATGGAGGCCACAAGCTGAGTCCCGGGAATGCTATCAGTGTTAACTGCCTCAGGACTCCCACCTGTTGCCTCACTGAGGTTTTTAAATTAGATCACTAGATACTTGTGATTCTCTTATTATAAAATTCACCCTTTTAAAGAGTACAGCCAGGGATTTAGCTCAGTGGTTCCAGTGCCTGCCTTGCAAAGGCGAGGACCCAAGTTCGATCCCAGGTACCAAAAAAAAGAGTTCAGTTCACCGGTTTTTGATATATTCACAAAAGCATGCAACTATCACCACTATCTAATTTTAGAACATTTTCATCTCCCCCAAAAGAACGCAATTTCAAGTACCTTGAAAGATTGTCACTAGATGACTCTTTTCTCTTTATTTCTTTTTCTTTTTTTTTTTCGTACCTGGGATCAAACTTGGGACCTTATGCTTGTGAAGCAGGTGGCAGAACCACTGAGCTAAATCCAAGCCCCTTTTTACTTCTTTTCTTAATTGTATCAGAGTCTTGCTTTTCTTTTCTTTTTTCTTTTTCTTTTGGGTCGGGGAGTACTGGGGATCAAACTCAGGACCTTGGGCTTGCCAGACAGTTGCCACTGAGCTAAATCCCCAGGCCAGCTTTTATTATTTATTTATTTACGGTACTGGGGATCGAACTCGGGCCCTTGGGCTTGCAAGGCAGCTGTCATCAACACTGACCCAAATCTCTGGCCCTTTTTTTTAAATTTATTTTTTCTGTGATGATGATTGAACCCAGAACTTTGCATATACTAGGGAAATGCTTTTCCCAAGCCCAGAGCCTTGTTTTTAACAATTTCCCTCCATCTCTTGGGAGCCACTTAATCTGCTTTCTGTCTTTGTGGATTTGTCTATACCAGACATTTCATATAAATGGAGTCATGCAGTATTGTGGTCTTATGTGACTCACTTCTGTTTGCTTAACATAATGCTTTCAAGGTTCATTCATGTTGTAGCACGTATCAACCTTTATATTCCTTTTATGATGAATAATATTCCACTGTCTCTATATATTGCATTTTGTCAATGCATTGTAGTGTTAATGGACATTTGGGTTGTTTTCTTCTTTTGCCTATTGTGAATAATGCTGTAAACATTGGCTGACCAATGTCTTTGGGTCCTGCTTTTTTTGTTTTTTGGGACAGGGTCTCGCTATATAGTTCAAGCTTGCCTTGAACTCATGGCAATCCACCTGCCTCAGCCTCCCAAGTGCTGGGTTTATAGGCATGCACCACTATGCCCAGCCTGTGTCTTCCTTTTAAGTCTGTTGGGTTCATACCTAGAAGTAGAATTGCTGGCTGATATGGTGACTGTGTTTAATTTTCTGAGCAAAGTCTTCATTTTTGTATCTTTCTTCTTTCCAGTGCTAATAGTGACGGAACCTGAAGTACCAGAAGAGGAAGTGGAGGAGCTCGAGGTGGATGTGGTAGGCTGGGGCTTTCCCCGATGTTAATATTCCTTTTCAACAACGGGTGAATCAAAGGATCAGTGGGGAAATGTGCACAAGGAGTGCTCTCATCTGCCACTGCCTCCAGCTTACTTACTCTTTACCAGTAGCCTGTGCAGCAAATCCAGATCATGAGTTAAAGGATCAGGTGTTCCAGCCTCCCACCTGCAGGACGGGCCTCAGTGAGGAACTGGCCTCTGGGCTGCTCTCAGGTCTCACCTTGGCTCAACCCTGATCTTGTGGGAGGACTTTGACAAGTTGAACAAGATGGACAGTTGGGTACTAATGTCTAAGCCATTCTTTTTCCTCCTTTCCTTCAGTTTTCTTCTTTGGCTAAAGAATTTACAGAAGCTGCCTCGATCACCTTGAGAAATTGGCACTAAGTGACTCCTATATCCTTACTTCCAAGTTGTGGCAGAGCCTAGCCATGCCCATAGTTATGTATGTGGGAAGAATAGGGTGGTGACATTGACATTTTTTTGAAAAGGGGAGAGAAATTTAATAATATCCCATTTTTAAAAAATTGGAGCTAGGACTGGGAATTTAGTTCAGTGGTTTTGCTGCCTGCCTCACAAGTGAAAGGTCCCAAGTTTGATCCCCAGTACAAAAATAATAATAATAATAATAATAATAATAATAATGGGAGCTGGACATGGTGGTTCATACCTCTAATCCCAGCACTCTGTGAGGCCAGGGCAAAAAGATCACACTGAGCAACTTAGTGACTTAGTACAATCTTATCTTAAATAAAAAATAAAAATAAAAAGGGGTCTAAGATTATAGCTCAGTGTGAAGACCCTGGGTTCAATCTCCAGTAATGTGGGAAAAATAATTGTGAGGGACAGAAAAGTAATACACAGAAAAAGAAAATAAGACTTTACAGCATGACTTCCTAGTCATATCTAATGTGAATATCTTGCTATATGTTTCTTCTTTCTGTGCACAGACTTGCAAGTTTTTTATATAACCCTAACTGTACCATATATTACAATCTTTTTGAGAGGCATGGGGAATTAAACTCAGGGCCTTCTGTGTGCTAGGTAAGCTCTCTACCACTGAGCTATATACCCAACAGTTATTATTTTTTATCTTGAGACAGGGTCTGGCTAAGTATCCCAGGCTGGCCTAGGGCTTGCAGAACTCTTGCCTCAATGGTCAAGATTATATTGTCGGATTATAGGAACATGCCAGGCTAAAACTAACACTATTCAAATAATATTTCCTGAAGATAAATTCCTATACATGGAGTTACCAAATCAGAGTAAAGAACGTTTCTAATATTTTTGATATATACTGCCAAATTATTTTAAAAAACAGATTATATCTCATAATAGCAATAAACCCTTTCCAATCCAGGGGTTATCAACTTAGTAAGGATTTAAAAAATATGATAAATTTTTTTTTTTTTTTTTTTGTTACTGGAGATCAAACTCAGGACCTTGAGCTTTGTGAGGCAGGCGGCAGAACCACTAAGCTAAATCCCCTGTCCAGTGATAAGTTTTGTTTTGTTTTGTTTTGTTTTTGTACCTGGATCGAACTCAGGTCCTTGTGCTTGCGAGTCAGGCAGCGAATGATAAGTATTTTTAATGAAGCATTTTTAAGATTAAATTATGTTTGTTATTTTTATTTGTATTCTTTGATTTCAAGTGAAACAGAACATTTTTGCAAATTTGCATTTTCTCTTCTCTGACATGATGTAAAAACTATGTCCATTGGTTAATTTATTTGTTGGAATTTTTCTGTTTTTCTCATTGGTTCATCCTTATCTTATATAGGAAAGATTTTAGATCACTGCCTATTGAATTTTCTTGACCTGGAGGCTTTAAGAGCAATTCCTTTTCATTTCCCAGGAGCACTGGGAAAGGACAGGGTGACATCCTATTTACTGAGCTATATCTTCATCTCTTCCAGTTTCCTTAATTTATTTAGTAGGGTTCTATGAACTGATTTTTTTCCTTGTCACAGTTACAATTTATTTTCCACTTAATCAGTTTGTTCTTTGGTTTTCTTTGGTCTCCATCCCCTACTTCCTTGCTGCTTTGCTGATTGCTTCTACCCAGTATCTTATTTCAGCATCCTGAAGGGGCTGCTGCATGAAGAAACTGCTTGTACATATCCTTTTTCCAGATCATCACCTCCTTGGTTCTAACTGCCTGATCCAGGCTAATATCCTACATGCTCCATTAATTCACTTTTATCTTAGATTGAGGGTTGCTTGAGAATACATTTTTACAACCACAGGCATACAGGATATATCTTGGGAAGATAATGGCCCACGGCATGCCTCTATGCCACATTCTGTTTTCACTCTTGGAATCTATTGTCTTATTGCTTCAAAAGTTTGAAACCTGTCATTCAGTCATCCTCAGTTTTCTCTTCTGTGTTCTGAACCTGTCTGGCTTCTCCTCTCATCGCCCATGTCCTGGTGTGTGAGTTGAGGGGAGAATGGTTCCTCCTAACACCTCTGACTGCTCTGCCTCTCTTTTCTCTCTTTGTGCAGAAGCCCCTTTTCCTTTCCCGAGCTGTGCTCACAGGCCTGGCAGATGCTGTGTGGACAGAGGAGCATGATGCCATTCTGAAACAATTCGCCCAGGACCCCCTGGAATCCATCCTCACCATCTTCATTGACCCCTGTTTTGGGCTGAAGCTGGAACTGGGTATGCCTATACAGGTGTGTACTCTGCTTGCCCAGCTCGGAGGTGGTTTTCCCAGGGATTGAAGGTTCTGAGGAGCCACAGCATTGTTATCTTCTGTGCCCAAGGCCGCATTGGGGATCAAGCACCCTACCTGGATGCAGTGTACAAAGAAGGATGAGGCAATATTTTGCTTTTCTTTTTGAGACACGGTCTTGCAGTGTGGCCCAGGCTTCTCTCAAATTTGCCATCTTCCTGCCTCAATCTCCCAAGGGTTGGGATTATAGGCATGTGGTTCTATGCATAGCTTCATTGTTTTGTTTTTCATAATTGCATGGTCTGGTGGGGAAGATGTGATGTAGACAAATATGTGCTATAAATCTCTTAATAATATGAAATATATAAATTAAATTATACATTTAACCATATTTATTTAATTTTAAAGGGGCTTTTGGGGAGCAGTTCTTAGATCATGTAGAATTTGGGGACAGTTTGATGGTGAAGGCAGTGTTTGAGCTGAGGATCAAAACCAGGTGAAGGTTTTCCAAGTAAAGAACACTTTATATACAAAGAAAAGAGTAATGGGAAATGATACGGAGAAGGTGGGTAAGGGTCAGCTTGCGAAGGCCCTTGTGCATTACACTAAAAAATTTGGTCTGTATCCCAGACCAAGCTACTGAAGTCTTTTTTGGTTTAGATCAATAACTATTTCAACAGTGTGGAGGATACGTCAGAGAAGGGATAAACCTGTGGTAGTGAGACAGTAAAAAGAAAGGCATATAGTAAAATGTGGTAGAATCTGAATGGTGGGTATACAGGTTATTATTATAAAATTTCTTTAACTATTCTATATTCTTGAAACAATTTTTTTTTTTGGTACCAGAGATCAAACTCAGGACCTTATGCTTGCAAGGCAGGTGGTGGCACCACTGAGCTAAATCCCCTGGCTTACTCTTGAAAAATTTTAAATAAAGTGTTGGAAAAGAAAGAGGTTCCTGCTTTGCTCCTGTTGGCAGCATATGTACAATAATTAAAATAATAATGAAGTTTAGCATGGCCCTGTGGACGCCATTTTTAAAGCAATCCATATTAAACAAAGGCAAAACAGGACATGGGTTTTTCCCATGTATTGGCAGTGATCAACCACAAAAATATAATGAGAAAAATAATTTCATTTGCAAAAGAAACAAAGTTTGCTAAAAATATTTATATTTGAATATAAAAATGTAATATAGAGTAGGATTGATGTGAAAGAAAACAACTGTTGCAGGCTGCAAAAGACTTGAATAAATGGTGAGTCCTATCCTGTTTCTGAATGGGAATCTTGAGAGTATGAATATATTTTGTCTGAACAATATATCTGTTTGGTTTTTGCTTTGTGATGAAGTTTTGTTATGTTGCCCAAGCTGTTCTTGAACTCTGAGCTCGAGTGATCCTCTCACCTCAGGCTTTTAAGTAGCTGGGACCACAGACCACAGGCATGTGTTGCCATGCTCAGAGAATTTTTCTTTTTTTGTGTGTGTGTGTGTGTGTGTAGTACTGAGTACTGAACTCAAGGCCTTTGCATTGAGCTACATTGCTAGTTCTTTTTTTTAAGTTTTGAAAAAAGGTCTCACTAAATTGTTTCATTGCCCAGCTTGAGACTTGCAATCCTCCTGTTTCAGGCTCTCAAGTGCTGGGATTACAGGCATGCGTCACCATGCCTGGAAAAATGTATCGTTTTATGCAACTTCAATCATAGTGCCCAAGTGCTAGCCCTTAAATTCCTTGGGTAAGAAATTTAAAAATATATCCAGAAAATGCATGAAAATAGTAAAGATAATAAAGAACAAAGAAAATAATGGAGGCAATCTATTAATATAAAATATTTTATTAAACAGTAGTGATTAAAATAGAGTTCTATTAGGAATATACATTATAAACAACAGTACAGATATGTAGAAAGTATAAAAATAGATGTTGTCAGCCACAGTATAGAAACATAGGAAACAGAAAATAGAAAGAACAGAAACAGACATGTAAGCATTTTGTATAAAAATGGGATTTTAAAATCTAGGGGGAAGGATGAGATTAGTCAGTGAATAAAACTGGGAAACATATGGCAATGAAGTTCTTCAATTAAAAAGAATCTGTTTAGCCTCCTGAAATACATTGTATTTTTTTCTTTTTTTTAAGGTGCTGGGGACGGAACCCAGGGCCTTGTGCATGTGCTCTGCCACTGAATGAAATATATTCTAAATAGGTTATAGATTTAATTGCATTCTTCTGATTAAAATGGCTATTTGAAGCCTCCTTTAAAAATTATTGTCCCTTTTGCTATGCATAGTGGTTCATGCCTGTAATCCCAGCTACTTAAGTGGCTGAGGCAAGAGGATGGCAAGATTGAGGCCAGCCTGGACAACTGAGCCATACCCTGTATCAAAATAAAACAAATAGGCCAGGCATGGTGGCGCATGCCTGTAATCCCAGCACTCAGGAGGCTGAGGCAGGAGGACCTCTGTAAGTTTGAGACCAGCCTGGGCTGCATAGTGAGTTCCATGTCAGTCTCAACTACATAGTGAGACCCTGTCTCAAAACAAAACAAAACAAAGCACAACAAAACAAATAAAAAGGGCTAGGGATGTAACTCAGTGGTAGAGTGCCCCTGGGTTCAATCCCTGGTACAGTAAAAAAAAAAAAAAAAAAAATCTTCAGGGTTGGTGTTGCCTAGCCCAAACAAGGCCCTGGGTTTCATCTGTAGCACACTCCCCTAGTGACTCTTAAATACCTGATAAACAAACAAGAGGGAATACCAGCAAAAAACAACAAAAAAGCCACATATAGCCCCCGGAGTAAAGAAAGAAAGAAAGAAAGATGCATAATCATATCTAGCAAATTTTTAAAATGGATGACAAAAAATAAATGGTGACCAGTGGAAAATGTAAGCACCCACCCTACCACAGGAAGGGTGTACCCCAGCCTGAGGGAGCGAACTGTTGAGGGCTTATGAAATTTTGAAAGAGAGAAAGAGCCTTGTTGTTTTAACAAAGATTTGACACTGCCTTAAATAGCCTAACCACCTGCGCATCCCCTCATGCAAGTCTCTTAGGCTAGAGAAAAGCGAATAAAATATAAAATAGCTAATCCTTTTACTTTAACTTCAAGAGGCAGAATAAACTGGCCTTTCACAGTGGGGCATCAAGAAGTCACCCACGGTAGGTTAGAGCCAAAAGAATGAATTCACAGAGCTTCCCAAGCATGAGCAAAATGAAGAGAAATTGCATGGCAACTGCAAGCATGTTATATCAAGGACAAAAAAATAAAAAATAAATAAAAGGAACAAAGCGTGCAAAGGAGGACGACAGGACTGAATGAACAGAAGGAAATTCCTCACGACGGCATCGTGTTATAGTACAACTTAATGAGAGCATGAATTCAGATTTTAAAAAAGCCAAGAGATGAAATGACAGAAGGTGAGAATGGGATGAAAGGGAGAGTACTGGTTTTAGGAAATGAATAAAGCAGCGTGTTACAAAACCAATAGATTGGCAAAGAACTGAATAGCTGTTGCTGAAAATCCTGTCACTGACATGGAGGTGAGGTCTGGAATAATCACATGCATGTAGAAGAAAGGGCCAGGGATACTAACACAATTAGAGAGAGGCTAATAGACTTGAAAGACAGGCATAGATATCTAGTGGAGTAAAAAGAGCCACCAAATGATACAGAGTATAAAGATTGAAATATAAAGAATCCCCCTTAAATGCCAAAAGAACCAAATGAATCCAGGGGACAGGCCATATTCCACAAAATCAGTTATTCAATGTTTAATGTCAGTACACATCTTAGTCACAGTACTAAAATTTGAGGATACCAATTCTGTGGGAACATCACATATGTGGTGTTTTGTTTTGTTTTTGTTTTTTGAGATATGGTCTCATTGTGTAGTTCAGGCTTGCCTTCAACTCGCATCAATCCTCCTGCCTCAGCCTCCTGAGTGCTGGGATTACAGACATACACTACTATGTCTGGCCTATCTGTTATTCTTGCAAAGTGTATTTAATCTGAATCTAATAATGAGGAGGCAATCGGATAAATCCAAATTAAGTAATATTTTGGAAAACAGTTGGCTTAGATTCTTAGAAATATCAAAGCCACGGAGGAAGGAAAAGCCTGGGAAGCTGTTTAAAATGAAATGAAAGCTGGGCATAGTGGTGCACGCCTATAATCCCAGCACTCAGGAGGCTGAGGCAGGAGAATTGCTTTGAGTTTGAGGCCAACCTGGTCTATCTAGAAAGTTTAAGTTTAGCCTGCACTACAAAGCAGACTATACCTAAAAAAAGCAAAAACAAAACAAACAAAGAAACAAAAGCAAGCCTTCCTTCTTCATTTCTTTTTTTATTCCATTCAGGTGACAAGTGTATTGGTTGCTGTCACTCATAGCCAGGCTGGGTCTTGTGTTTTCAGGAAATCCCTTCAACCACACCAAGAAGGATGCTGATTCAGCTAAACTGGGTGTTTTTTACTCAAATCGACACAACCATTTAACTATTGCAATGCCCCAAAGGCATTATCCAGACAAAATATTTAAGTAGCCCATAATTTTCAATCTTCAAAGACCCCTATTTAAAAATACCAGAGCTGGTAGTATAGTTGGGTGGGAGAGCACAGTGTGTGCTCACTATGCCTCAGGTCCCCCTAGGTCTATCCCTAGCACTGCAAAACAAAACAACAAAACTAAACAACCCCTTGAGATCCGGTCAGTTAAGAAAGGAGCCAAGGCTGGGCATGATGGTGCACGCCTGTGATTCCAGCACTCAGGAGGCTGAGGCAGGAGAATTGCTACTAGTTCAAGGCCAGCCTGGGCTCCATAGTGAGTTCAAGGCCAGCCTAAACTACAAAGAGAGACCCTGTCTCAAAAAACAGAAAAAGTGGGCCGGGGATTTGGCTCAGTAGTTCTGCCACCTGCTTCTCAAGCACAAGGCCCAGAGTTTGATCGCTGGTACCAACAAACAAAACAAATAAACAAACAAAAACCAAACGTAAAAACAAAGGCTGGGGATTTAGCTCAGCGGCACAGTTGCCTACCTTGCAAGCCCAAGGTCCTGAGTTCCATCCCAGGTACAGGGAACAAACACCCCAGAAAAACAAACAAACAAACAAAAAACAATATGAACCAAATAAAAAACTCAGGAATAGAGAATTGATGAGCTTTCAATTCATTTAAATAGCTAATACATTAAATAATGTACTAAACAATCATAGGAGCTATAGCTATGTCATAGAATGTAAATGCTACATGTAAATCTGGCCAATGTAAAATCATCCCAAAACAAAAGTGGGGAGATGGTAGGAAAATGTGAGGGAGAACGAGGATGCAAAGGCTTTTGTCTTTCAAAGCAGTGAGCTAATAAAACTTAAAATTGAATGGCACTGAGAAATCTTAATGTTTTTTGTAACCTTTCTTGCTACTTTATTTATTTTTGTTTTTTGAGACAAGCTCTCAGTATGTAGTTCAGGCTGGCTTTGAACTCACTGTGTAGCTCAGGCTTGCCTCGAATTCAAGGTGATCCTCCTGCCTCAGCCTCCCAAGTGCTGGAATTGTGGGTATGCACCACCACACTTGACCTTTTGAAGTTCTCTTTATCTAATTACATTCAAATAAAACTAAATGTAATCCTTGTAACTAAAATAGCATGATAATCTTTTAAGTACACTTTTAATTAAATTGTATATATATATATATGTACATATGTGTGTATATATATATATGTTTACATATGCTTTTATGAATGGATTTATTTGTCTCTTTTACAAGCAAACCAAATAACTCACATTTTTTGCTTGTTTTTTTACATATAATAGATACTAGTTTAGGAGGAATATGTTTACTGTCCCTGTCATGGAATTGTAATAACAAAATTAATACTTTAAATTCTCAGTTCTTCTTTGTTTTTATATTTCTGGTGACTATTCATTTTCAATAACATTTACTTCTTCATTTTTAAATTATAGTAAAAGATACATTGCCCATTAATCCCCCTCAGGTACTTCCCCTCTCTCCAGACACACTTAACCCATCATTCTTGCTCCTGTTTTTTTTTTTTTAGTACTGGGAATTGAACTCAGGACCTTGTTCTTGTGAGGCAGTTGGCATCTTGCTACTTTTTGAGGCAGTTCTGGATGTTCTCTGCATGAGTGTTTTTACAAAGTATGATCAAAATATGGTGAGGGCTGGGGATTTAGCTCAGTGGCACTGCACCTGCCTAGCAAGTGCAAAGTCCTAAGTTCAGTTCTCGGTACAAAAAAAAAAAAAAGTTAAAAGAAAATATGGTGAATGTTGCTACCAAGTGACATCAGTGGAAAGGCAGGCTTATAAAAACATAGTGTGAGGGCTGGGGATTTAGCTCAGTGGTTCTGCCGCCTGCTTCGAAAGCACAAGGACCTGAGTTCAATGCCCGGTGCCTCCCCCCGCAAAATGAATTAAAAAACCACATAAATAAATAAAAATAAAAAACATTATAGTGTGTTCTCACTCACCTTATTCACCTGATCTGGCATTGTATAACTTCTGGCTCTTCTCCAAAGTCAAAATGACCATGAAAGATAAGTGTTTTGAGTTAATTCAGGACTCTGAGGCCGTCACTAACACACTAAAGACACTCACGACAAAAGACTGCCAGAACTGGAATAAATGTGTTCAAAGCTAGGTGAAGAATTTTGAGGGGTATTAATCACAATGTAATAAATTGTAATGTAGCAAAGTTTTAAAAATTATGTTGGATATGGTGGCCCATGCCTGTCATTGTAGCACTCAGAAGGCTGAGTTAGGAGATTTCTGTGAGTTCAAGGCCAGCCTGAACTACAAAGCAAAACTCTGTCTTTAAAAAAAAAAAAAATAAGGCTAGAGATTTAGCTCAGTGGTTCAGTTACCTGCCTTGCAGATGCAAGGACCCAAGTTTGATCCCCGGTACCAAAAAAAAAAAAAAGCATTCACTGTATTTTTCAATCACATCTCATGTGTTTATGGGGAAATGTATGAAATAATTTTATCAAGTGTTTTTTTGCTTGTTTTTTTTATTAGTACATGTTTGCAGTACATAATGATTACATTCCTTGTAGGGAGTTGGTACATGTCTGTAGCACATCTGAATTCTTTTTTATCTCTTTCCCTCCCCCTCTGCTCCCTTCCCTCCATCTTTTGGTCCCCTTCCCTGTTGTGAAAGATCTGTCTCCCTATTTGTGTAGTGTTAATGGTATTTAATTTCTAGGCAGTGGATGTTAGGTGACTTTAAAAAATATTTGTGCCAGGCGTGGTGGCATACGCCTGTAATCCCAGCACTTGGGAGGCTGAGGCAGGAGGATTGCTGTGAGTTTGAGATCAGCCTGGGATACATAGTGAGTTCCAGGTCAGTCTCACTACATAGTGAGACCCTGTCTCAAAAAAAAAAAAAAAAATCTTTGTACTTGCCTATGTGTGCTTCCCCACCAACACAGAGACCCAGCCCAGGGCCTCTAGACCAGTGCTCTATCATGCGACTGCATCCACAGCCCTTCTGTGTCATTTCAGTGATCTATGATTAACATAAATCATCTTAACAAAAATAATAGTTGTTAAGCTTTTTTAAAAAATGGACATAAAATGACAAGATTTATTTCTGGGTAGTGGGAATATGAATACTTTTTGAAGAAGATGGATATTAGCAATTTCTTCTTTGTGCTTTATTTCCAGTTTTTAGAATGAAGTAAATTGTAAAACTTTAAAAAGATCACTTTAAAAAGAGATGAATTGGGTTGGGGATTTAGCTCAGTGGCGCTGTGCCTACCTTACAAGGACAAGGTCCTGAGTTTGAACCCTGGCACCGAAAGAGAGAGAGAGAGAGAGAGAGAGAGAGAGAGAGAGAGAGAGAGAGAGAGGAATATGATCTTAGCATAGAAATGGCCCTTTAGGGCTGGGGATTTAGCTCAGTGTTGCCGCCGCCTGCCTTACAACCACAAGGTCCTGAATTCAATCACTGGTACTAAAAAAGAAAGAAAAAAGAAAAATAAATACAATATTTAGATATAAATTAATGAAGTTACACATTTCTGAGTGTAGGTGTCTTCACTACTTTCTCATTTCTGAGACAATACTGAGACCTACAATTTCAAGGAGGAAAGGTTTATTTTGGCTTGTTTTGTAGAGGTTTCAGTTCACACTTGGCTGGCTCCAAGGGCCACTGGAGGTTGCTCATGGCATGGCAGACAGGAAACAGAGAAAGGGTGAAGAGAGGAGGGGGAAGAGATAAATTCTTCCAGGCCAGTCCCTGGTGGCCCACCTCTTCCTACCAAGTCACATGTACTAAGAGCAAGCCACTTTTAAGCCTCCATAATCCAATTACTTCCCCAAAGCCCCACCTATGAGCTGTGTGACAATTTGGAGGACATTTTAGACCAAACCATAACAGTAAGCAATAACACAAATTCACCAATGACAAAATTGAAAGACAAATGAAAAATTGAGGTGAAAGTATATGCAACTGACACGAGAAATCCTTGGCAGTTGCGTTTCATGCTTTGCCTATGGCTGAAGTGCTTCATCCATTCTATCCTATCCTATCTAATTCCATCCATCTATCCTTCCCTCCATCCATCCAACAAACATTTGCTGAGCACTGCTATGTGCAAGGTTCTATGTTAGGTCCTGGAGCCAAGCTAGATAAAATACAGAATCCCTATCCTTGAGGCATTCTTTCTGCATTTCTTCCTAACATCTCTGCATACAGAATCTGTGTGTCCATGAGAATAAGAAGCATCCCATGATACTCATTTTGTACATTGATAAAAGGATCAAAATAAACTAAGGGGCTAGGCGTGGTGGCACACAGCCGTAATCCCAGCCCTCGGGAGGCTGAGTCAGGAGGATTGCCATGAGTTCATGGCCAGCCTGGGATACAGATAGTAAGTTCAAGGCCAGCCTGGACTACATAGCAAGACTCTGTCACAAAAATTTTTAAAAAAGATAAACTGAGGGACAGGTGACAAAGAATTCAGCCAATCTTTAAGATGGGGAGACTCAGATTCCTTTGGGAATCATGACAGAGCCTGGAGACTGAGCTCTGATATATTGTCTTTCACAGACTCAGAATCAGCTGGTCTACTTCATTCGCCAAACACCGGTCCTCATCACCCCAGAGAACTTCGAGGCGACAGTACAGTTTGGGACAGTCCGGGGTGCCTACATCCCAGCCCTGCTTCGACTGCTCAGTGGTATTTATGCCCCTCAGATTTTTACAGACACAACCTGGCCGGAGAGCATTCGGAATCATTTTACTTCCCATCTGCACAAGTTCTTGGCCTGCCTGACAGGTGAGCAGGAAGGCTGGAGTGGCTGATTTCTTCTTAATAGAGCTTCTCAGGAAGGTGGCAAATTCATCCTGGTCAGTAATGTCTGTTGAATGAATAGAAAATGGTATAGGGCCCAGGGATTTAGCTCAGTGGTTCCACCACATGCCTTGCAAGTGCAAGGTCCCAAGCTCAAACCCCGGTACCGAAAAAAGAAAAGAAAATGGTATAGAATCCGCCCTTTTTGTTGTGCTAGTGATTGAACTCATACATGCTAAACACACACTCTACCAGTAACACTGTTGGCCCTAGTATTTATACTCAAATCAAGATTTTGCTGGGCCGGGGATTTGGCTCAATGGTTCCACTGCCTGCCTTGCAAGCGCAAGGACCCATGTTTGATACCTGGTACCAAAAAAAAAAAAAAAAAAAGATTTTGTTTTGCAGTGCTGTAGATGGACCACAGAGCCTTGTGCCCTACCACTGAGCTACATTCCCAGCCCTTAAAAGAAGATTTGAAATGAAATCTCACTGTGTGTATCCATTTTCATGTGTATATCCAGTACATACACACACACACACACACACACACGCACGCACGCACGCACGCACACATGCATTTTGTTTCTGTGTATCCTTAGTGTCCTAAATAAAAACTACAAATCTTCTGATTTAAAGACTCAAGGACATCAAATATTATTGGATAATAAATATCAGTCACTGGTAAATAAGTTACAATGGTGAAAAGAATCTGCCTTGTAATTCCCATACCTTGTACTGATAGCATATATAGATTTTTAAAATTATTTTATAGCCATTTCTTGTTATACCTCCACGAGGTTTTCCTTTTGCCTTCTGTCATTTCTCCTCCTTTTTCTTTTCTTTCTTCCTTTTTTATTTTTGCAGGTGGGGATTGAATCCAGGACTCTTATATGCTAAGTAGATGCTTTACCACTCTTTTTTATTGTGTTTTGACGCAGGGTCTTGCTAGGCTGCCCAGACTACCCTTGAACTCACAGTACTCCTGCCTTAGCCATCTGAATAGAAGGGATTACAAGCATTCATGACCATGCCAGGCTCATTTCTCCTTTTGATATCAAGAAAGTATAGGTCATAGTTTTCTTCTGCCTGCTGTCCTGAAATGCATATTTAATCATCCCTCAGTATCATGGGGAATTGGTTCCAGGACCCTTTGGAAATCAAAATTCTAGGATGCTCAAGTCCCTTATATAACAGGGTAGTGCTTGCATATAACTTATATGCCTTCTTCTGTATACTTTAAAATCTCTAGACTAACTATAACAACTGAAACAATGTAAACGCTATGTGAATAGGTGTTATACTGTATTGTTTAGGAAATGTTGATAAGAAAATGTCCGTACATGTTCAGCTAAGATACAATTTTTAAAAATATATTTTCTGTCTATGACTGGTTGACTGTGTGGATGAAGAACCTGTTGATATGAAGGGTGGATTGTATGTCCTGGGCCCCCACCACAGTCATACAGTCGTGGTTGTATGATGGATGCGGGGCACCACTCCTTTGAACTCCCATGGTCCTTCCCTTAGACACACGTTACAAACTGGAGGGGCACACCGTTCTCTACATCCCCGCGGAGACTGAGAACATGAAGCCTCAGGTGGTAGTAAAGGACAAAGAGCTGGTGCAGCGGCTAGAAAGTGAGTGGCTGGCACTGCCAGCATTTGGCAGAAGTTGCAGAGGGGAAGAGGCAGCCCAGATGCTGACACAGGAGCTGGGTTAGATGTGCTATGTGGCGGTGTTGGTGGCAGTGGGCTAGATGGGGGAGGGCACAAATGATCAGTGTGAAGACATGCAAGAGTTTTCATACCCCTGCCCACTGCAGCCTCCATGATCCACTGGACCCGGCAGATAAAGGAGGTTCTCAGTGCCCAGGAGACTGTGGAGACAGGAGAAAATTTGGGCCCTCTGGAGGAGATTGAGTTCTGGCGCAACCGCTGCATGGACCTGTCTGGCATCAGCAAACAACTGGTGAAGAAGGGTGTGAAGCATATTGAATCCATCTTGCGCCTGGCTAAGTCATCCTACCTGCTGCCCTTTATGAAACTGGCTCAGCAGATCCAGGTATGTGAGTGGACCAGAGGCTGGGGGGGGATGAGGGTCTGAGAAGAGGAGCCAATCCAATCATCAACACATAGACCGATTGGACTTAACTTGTAGGGAAAGACAATAGCAGTAGAATGGGGTTCCTAAGGAACTTATCGTTTAGGTAGAAAGACATCTAGTTAACCAACAAATAGATGTTGATTATCCTTTGTGAACCAGGCTGGGGATTTAGCTCAGTGGTTCTACCTCCCGCCTTGAAAGCTCAAGATCCCGAGTTCAATCCCCAGTACCATAAATAAATAAATAAATATCCTCTGTGAACCCAACCCCTACCAACAAGCTGAGAGGAAAGGATTTACACAAAATAGGATTAGTACATGGCTTGGGAACTCAAGATGAATGTATATAGTTCAGTTAAGAGAGTTTCCAAATAAGCACTTAAAAAATAAACTCGAAATGGCAACTTGATTATGTTAAAGCAGGATCACACAGGAGATGAATGGTCTATATGATTCAGAGATAGAAGAACTCTCCTCTGGGTGAAATTTTCAACTCATTTGAGGGAATTGAGCCATAACTAGTCAGAGAAGTCTACAGCCCTGGTTGAGAACAGGGCACTGAAGGTACTGAGTGACACCTGCAAGGATGAGATGGGAGTGATGTCCAAGTGGTTGATCGGTAGCTGTGGGATATCCACTTGTACAGCGTTCTGATTTCAACCAGAGAAAATGGAGGGGTAGACAGCAGCCCTGTTGTCTGCTTTCCCAGTCTCTAAAATATTTTCATAGAAAGTGGTGAATGAACCAGGTATGTGGTGCATGCCTGTGATCCCAGTCCTCAGGGAGGCTGAGACAGGAGGATCACGAATTCTAGTCCAGCCTGAGTAATTTAGTGACTTAGTGAGACCCTGTCTCAAAATAAAGCATTTACAAAATAGGGATGGGAGGCTGGGGATTTAGCTCAGTGCTTCCGCTGCTGCCTTGCAAGCACATGGGCCAGAGTTTGATCCCTGGTTCGCCCCGTCCCCAAATAGGGATGGGAATGTAGCTTCGTACAAAAATCCCTGAGTTCAGTCAACAATACTCGAAAAAAGAAAGTAGTAATTGAATAAAAGGTGATATATACATGTATACACTCTGGTCCTGAGTGGGTGGAGAGACCTGAAAGGCTGACTCCTGGGTGGAGTTCACCAAGAAGTCTTCCTGGCAGAGGTGATCAGGATGGTGTTCAAGATGAATTAAAAAGTGTTTGCTGTGAATCAGTTCTTTCTAGTGAGTGAATGTATTCCTGGTTTCTCTGCCGCCAGGATGGCTCTGGTCAAGCGCAGTCGAACCTGACCTTCTTGTCAATCCTGAAGGAACCTTACCAGGAACTGGCTTCCGTGCACCCTAAGGACATCTCCAGCAAGCTCCCCAGGCTGATCAGTCTCATCCGCATCATCTGGGTCAACTCTCCCTACTACAATACAAGGGAGAGGCTGACCTCCCTCTTCCGAAAGGTATGTGGATGCCGGGGCAGACCAGAGAGCGTTAGGACAGTGGACATGTCAGGGCTCAGACATTTGGAAGACAGTGGAATCCCCTGGCAGATGATGTGTGGTCAGAAAGTTGGGGACGGACATAGAGGCTTTTATCAGCACCATCGGCTTTAGTCATGGTCAGAGTTGGGGTCTGGGCTGAATTATGTTTCCAGATGCAAGCAGTTTAGGCAGGAAAAGGACTTTGAGAAGGAGAGTTAAGGCGCATGGGGAGGGAGGAAGGAAGGACAGACTCCTAGGTTGGATTGTGCAAAAGGGAAGACTGAAGTCTGCCTTTCCCTCCTTTCCCAAGATGGAATCTGCAGCAGGGAAGGGGCTTCTGAGCTGGGCTTGCTGGGGCAATGCATCTGCAGAGCTGAGCTGAGGAGCAGCAAAAGGCCACTTAGGACCAGGCGTACACATAGAACCCAATGGTGGAGGACAGGGGTGAGATGGGTCTCAAAAAACAAGTGAGGGAGCTGAGGCCAAGACCTGTGGCACAGTCAGGGAGAAGCAGCAGAGAAAGGGTTGTATGGAAATGAGGCTGGGAATTGAGGCTGTTGGGTGCCCTTTTGCAGATGAGCAATGAGATTATCCGTTTATGCTGTCATGCCATCTCCCTGGACCGGATCTTTGAGGGATATGTCTCTTCCAGCAAGGAGGACCTCCAAGGCTGCATTTCTTGTTGCCATGCTTGGAAAGATCACTACCTGCGGGCTGTACAGATGCATACTCAGTATGATGGGTTTCCACGACCTCCCACATATTGCCCCTTGTCATTCCTACAGTGGGGAGACTCTGACTCCTTTTTTGTGAACTTGTTTTTTGAGGCCTATGGATTGTTTTTCTAGATCTAAGAATACCTTTATCCAGGCAGGTTTTTCTCTTTGAAAGCAGATACTTAGCTCACAGCCTTGTGATCTCCCTACTGTCATAATCTCTCCTTTCAGATTCCAGAAAAGCCACCTGGTCTTTATCTCCAGTGTTGGCCCACACTATAAAATTCCAACCTGGATAAACCTTCTTTTAGAGCTTAGATGCCATGTCTCCTTTCTGGTTCATGTCACCTTGACTCTCTTCCCTTGGGATTCAGGGAAAGTATTTTCAGTATCTTGTTTTATGAACTTCTGGTCTAAGTCTGCATGGGCAAGTTGACCCCTAGTGTTCCCACCTTTTTTTTTTTTTTTTTTTGGTCCTGGGGATTGAACTCAGGACCTTGTGTTTGTGAGGCAGGCGGCAGAACTACTGAGCTAAACCCCTGGTCCTAGTGTTCCCATCTTTTAATTTAGTCCACCTTTCTCCTAACACAGGTTTTCCAGTCGGGGATGGGTCCTAGACCAGACCAGCATATTTGCTCAGGTTGATGCTTTTGTGCAGCGCTGCAAGGACCTGATTGAGGTGGGAAGACTGTTGGGGAAGGATACTCAAAAGCCAACCTCAGACCCTGCAGAACTTCTCTCCAAGAGCCAGGGCAGATGGGGCAGAGAGTGATTAAAAGGCTAAAGCTAGAATTTAACTGCCCTGGCCCTTCCTGCAGAATCATGTGCCCTTCCACCACCTTGTTCTTTTTGGCTTTTGCTGTTATCACTGCCTTAGCATCTCATGTTTCATTCTGCAGCCCAAATTTATCCCCCTGCACCTGGTTGGTCCTACCTAGTTCTTACATATTTGAAGCTGTATCAAAGAGCTCTGGACACACAAGTTCAGAAAGGAAAGCAGGAGCTCTCATGCTGGCTTCTTTTTAGGTATGCGACTGTCAGTACCACTTTGCCCGTTGGGAAGATGGCAAGCAAGGTCCCCTTCCTTGCTTCTTTGGTGCCCAGGGGCCACAGATCACACAAAACTTGCTAGAAATTGAAGATATCTTTCATAAAAATTTGCACATGCTGCGAGCTGTCCGCGGAGGCATCCTGGATGTCAAGAATACCTCCTGGCATGAAGACTATAATAAGTGAGCCGATCATAAGCTGATAGGGCAAGGGAGGGAGATCTGGGGAGAGGAGAATAGGAGGAATGGTGAAATACGCAAAGGGAGTTGGGAAGACAGGGGTGGGAAGGGTGGGAGAAAGCATCAGGGAGGCAGGTGGCTGGGTGGGTTCAGTGTTCCAGATCACCTTTCCGGACTTGAATCTTGGTTCTGCCGCATGCTGGGTATGCATCATGAGGCAGATTACATTAGGTCAGGGCCACTGCTTCCTCATCTATAAATAAGTTAATGATAGAACCTACCTCTTAGCATTGGTTAGAGGATGAAATAGATTCATGGATGAAAAGCACTTAATGCAGTGCCTGGATTGCAACAAGCACCAAGGCACGGCAACATATACGATTCTCACCCAGGGAATGTGTTTGGGCACTGCTGAGGGCACCCACACTTCACTTGTCTTTCTGATGGTGCAGATTCCGCACTGGAGTCAAGGACCTGGAAGTGATGACCCAGAACTTGATCACCTCAGCCTTTGAGTTAGTTCGTGATGTGGAGCATGGGGTGCTGCTGCTGGACACCTTCCACAGGCTGGCGACCCGGGAGGTGCAGTCACCTGCCCCTTGTGATCTCTCTGCTTTCCTTTAGTTCCTCCTGAACTTTCCAAGCACCATCCACCCACACATGTACCTTTCCCCACCCACTGAACCTCCCATGCCTCTTTTATTCCATCTGTACCCCTGGCTCTTACATCTCTAAGAACTATAGCTCCTGCTGTGTGGCAGAGCTTTCTTCTGGGACCAGTGACTAAAGAAACCCACCTCCATGGGGGACATCATTCATTTCTCTCTCTTCTTAGGCCATCAAGCGAACATACGACAAGAAGGCAGTTGATCTGTACATGCTGTTCAATAGTGAACTGGCCCTTGTGAATCGTGAGCTAAACAAGAAGTGGCCGTATCTGGAGCCCTACATGGGCCAGTATTCAGGACAGGCACACTGGATGCGGATCCTCCGGCGGCGCATAGACAGAGTCATGAATGTAGGTGCCTGGCTTCCTCCAGCCTCGGTCCCTAGTGAGACAGCAGGCTGTGCTGTGGGCAGGAGGGTGGAGAAGGTCCAGAGAGGTTCCCTGCAGAGTTTTCATGACCAGAGATGGTCAGATGAAGGGAGGGACAGGTTCCATTCAGTGAGGCAGACCCTGGGTTTAGTTCACAGAGAGGGAACTGGTGGCCAGTAGAATAGAGGTCACTTTAGGAATTTCAGGCAGGTCTGGGTGGAGAGGAGGAATAGGATCAGTGTTGAGCAAGTTGGGCAAGCAGAAGAGCAATACAAACATCATCTAAGACTTGGGCAGGTCTTTCTGGGCCTGGTCTCAGTGAGAACAAAGAAACAAGGCAAAACCCTTTAAAACTTTTTTGGGGGGAATATAAGTCAAAAGTTATTGAGGAAGTGACTGCTATTGTCAGATTAGTTCTAGGAGAAGATAAGGCAGCCTTCAGATACCTGGGCTAAGATAGGCCAGGATCTGCTACAACTAGTTTTCAACTTTGTGCCTCTTAAATCCTTCAACTTCTGTTGTTGTTTAGTTATTATTTTTATTAGCATATACTAGTTGCACAGAATAGTGGATTTCTGTGTATGCATATTTGTACATGCCTGTGACATGCTTTGATCATTTCTACCTGTTGTGACACTTTGCCCTTCTCTCCCCCTCCACCTCATTGCCCTCCTCTTTCATAGTCTCCTTTCTACTTTCATGTCTACTCTTTTTTTTAGATTCCACTGTGATTCATTTTTTTCTCCCAACTATTTTCTTGTGCTGAATCTCCATGCTTCTTCTTCCTCCCTTTGACTCCCTTCCCCAGTGTGCCTTAGTCTGTGTCTTCTTACAATGTTGTCTGAGTCAATCAATTTCCACAGCCTGCCTTACCTGTATTATTGGTGTGCATGCGTGCATGCGCGCATGCGTGCATGTGTGTGTGTGTGTGTGTGTGTGTGTGTGTGTGTGTGTAGCGTGTCTTTCAGTGATGGTTCCACCTGGAGGAAGATGAAAAGAGCCTCCCCTCCTGTGTTCTCCCCTCTTAGTGCCTTTCTAGTGCCCATTTCCTGCCCCATATTGGGACTGGAGAGGAAAGTGTACACACCTACCAGCAGATGGTTCAGGCCATTGATGAACTGGTTCGAAAAACCTTCCAAGAATGGACATCAACACTGGACAAGGACTGCATTCGGCGGCTGGACATCCCTTTGTTACGGATCAGCCAGGAGAAGGCGGGCATGCTGGATGTCAACTTTGACAAGTACAGGATGTGCTCTGTTCCTTCTTGCTACCCTCGGTGCCAGTCCCCTTCTCCAGCTCTCCCGAGCTTGACTCCCATCGTTTGGTTTCTCTCTCCATTCATCTGTCTCTCTCACGCATACTGCAGTATCTTTTCTATTGCTTCTTCTTTTAGCTTTACAGCTTATTTAAAAACAAAACTAAAAACTAAAAACAAAGCAACCCACTCACTTACACTACTAAACCAGCGATACAGATGTTCTGCCACTAGATGGCCACGATGGCTCGGCTAAATCATCCAAGCCCTGGGCCACAGTCTGAGCTCTCGTGAGAACTGATGGATGGGCTATAAAGCCATGTCCTCGCCTATTTTGAGCTTTAAAATTGTGACATTTTGTATTATGATTTTAAATATATGACTAATCCATGAATCAATGTATTCTAAAATATGCAGTGAGTGCCACATATATAATAGGAACTGATAGGCACAGTGAAGGTGCAGAATGACAAAGTCCCGCCCTGAGGAAGCCGGGTGGAAGGAGAGAGGAAAGCCATCTGTCTACAGAGTTTGCAAACCTTCTGGTCCCAGGTTTTCCCCAAGCAGAAGGAAATAACTGCCCACATGACTGGTTTGGACTCCCTCTTGTCATCATTTGTGCCCTGGAGTATGTGTCAATTCCCATGCTCCTAGGCTAGTGCTCTGGCCTTCACTTTACCCATGTTTATTGGGTACAAGTGAAGAAGGGGCTTTGCCTTTGCTAGCGAAATCCTAAGTGAAGATGGGTCCCAGGGACAGGCTAGGCCTCATGTGTCTGTCCTGGAGCCGAAGGTGGTCTGGCTGGGAGAGGTGGCACACTACACTTGAGAAAGAACTTTTGTCACATCACCCAAGACAGCCACCACATTTCTCTGTTTTTTTTTTTTTTTTTTACTTAAAATAAAAACCTCTCTGAGGTTTTCATTAGGCAAGATAACATATGTAAAAGTCCTTATAAAAGTCCTTACAAATGATAAGCAGTCAATAAATATTATTATTATTATTATTATTATTAATTATTTTATTTTACTATTGGTTCTTGAGACAGAGTCTCACTATGTAGCTCAGGCTGGCCTTGAACTCACTATGTAACCTAGGCTGGCTTGAATTTATAGCAATTTTCTTGGTTTAGCCTCTTCAGTGCTAGGATCCCAGGCATATGCCACCACTCCTGGCTAATAAGCATTATTTTTACCTTAAAAATTACCTCAAAAAACTTGAGGAATATGGGAGTCAGGAACTTAGGAGTCGGATGTGGTGATGTGCACCTCTAACCGCAGCTACTCAGGAGGCTGAGGCAGGAGGATTACTTAAGTCCAGGAGTTTGAGACCAGGTCAGGCAACATAGCCCATCTTTAAAAAAAATTTTTTTTAGCAAAGTGGTATACAGTTTTAAGCCTTAAAACAGTTTAACCTTTTAAAAGGGCTAATAAATGCACATTGTACAAAATTCAAGACACAAAAAGATAGAGAATAAAAGTCTCCCTTCACTGCTCTTCCCGGATCTTCTTGTAACATTTCAGAGATAAACATATATGCCTACATAAGCATCCTTTTTTTTGGGGGGGGGTGTACTGGGGATCAAACCTGAGTCCTTGTGCTTGTGAGGCAGGCGCTAGAACAACTGAGCTAAATTCCCGGCCCTACCTTTTTGAAATAAATAGTGTAATATAAAAATTGTTCTTTGTATTCAAAGTAATTTTGAAATATTTAATTTTTCCATTATAAAATTAATTATTGATCATTTTAGGAAAGTTGCAAAGTATAGGAAAGTAGAGGAGGAAAAAAATCCCCCAGAGATAACCACTTTGTTTTTAGTTTTTTTTTCTTTTTGGTGGTGGTCTTGGAGATTGACTCCAGGCTCTCAGGCAAGTTAGGCAAACTCTGCCATTGAGCTATAGCCCAGCCCTGAGAGATATCTAGTTAGAATAATGGCTGCTCTTATCATCTCTTATCTGGAGCACTTTTTGCATAATCTTTACAGTAGAGTTTAAACAGACCACTTTAGACCAAATATTTATGGCCTGGGTTTATGTGATACCCAAATAATAGCTACACACTTCTTTCAAACTAAATAGGTATATATTCCTGTCCTTTGGCAGTGATTTTCTAGAAAGATATGATACTTTTATTTTGTGGTTTTAAGATAAAACTGTTTCAACCTGGTAAATAATGGAAGTGAAAGAGCTTGATGGTAAGTGAAGGATTTTTCAGTTTGTAAAATTTATTAACGCTCCCCAGGAGCACAAATAATTTTATCGGGTTTACTGTTCATGTTCAAGGTCTGGTTAAGATCTTGAAATAAGCACACTTTTTGAAATGTCCTAATGGGCCTTTGAATTACCTGACTCTCTTAGTTCTGGGAGACTTCCAGTCCCTAATAGTATTTATTTTATCCCACAAGAGGTTTGGTTATCCCATGTTATATCCAAAATATTTGAACTATGAAGTCCAAATTGGCTTTTACCACTTTTTATGGCCAGACGAGCTTTACAGATTGCCTTTAACACAAACATATTGCAGATGTCTGCTATATCCTGGTTGAAAGACCGGTGTTATCACTCTGTACAGAATGGTGGAATTTCCCCAGAACAGGAAAGGGGGTCCTGATGGCTGTCATCTTTTGTTCCTAAGACATTTTTGTTTCTTACAGCACTTTCCCACATGGTCAGTTCATTCTGGGCCATCAGCACTGGACTTGGCTGGCTTCACTTTCCTACTTCTATCACCTGATGACACGTTTGGAGATATGTTATAAAAATATTTTACAAAAACAATTTCCCCAATGGATTTTTAAAAGAAATTGTATTTGTCAATACAATAGAATTTGTACTCTGGAAATTTATTGACAAATATTTGTCAAAGACTGAACATCAGTCTCAAAAAAGATTCTTTAAAGGATTTTCAGCTTCACCTCAGGAAGATAGTGTCCAAATGAATTCTTTCAACTGACAAATTCAAACTGAATATTGTGCTTTAAAGTTATTTTGAAAATCCTGTGCAATTGAGAAAAATAAAGGAATATTTTATTTTGGCTCCTTGTTAACCAATGTTTGCCCAAGTGGGTTTGCCTTTATGTTTATGAACAGACAAATTCAAAGCCTCCAGTTTGAGGACAAGAATATGTTTATGCTACTAGATACATTGCCATTTTATTCAAGCCCCTCTAGCCTCCCCATATAGCTGTAGCACAGGTTTTTGGTCAAATTGCTATTCAGTGTTTATTATGACTCTGTCAGTATTGTTGACTGCTGAGTTAAGTAATGTTATGTTATATACAGTAGCTCCCTGTAACAGCAATCCAAAAATATTACCTTGACTTTTTTTTTTTTTGAAAGACTACATTCATCCATTTTCAGGCATCTACTGGGGGTCTTGGAGAGAATCCTGAATGGGTAAGGGGACTACTTTGGTTCTTTTCTTGTTTGCATGATATTTGATCTTTTTGAAATAATTATCTATTTTTGTTAGTGTACTGTTGTTCACTCTCATTATTTCTTCCAAATCAACTAATGAAATCCCTTTGAGTAATACATTTCCTCATGAGCTGACATATTAGCTATTTATTGATTTCACAATTTTCTCAGATCTATCCCTCCCCTGTGCTCCTGCTTTGTCTGACTGGTTGGTTTTAAGGTCTTTTACTGAGATATTATCCTGGGGCTTTTCTGAGTCTGACCTTGTTGAGATATTTCTTTCTGTGATGTTGGGGGTGAAACCTAGGACCTCTCACATTGCTAGATAAGTACTCTACTGCTGACCTACAACTCTAGCCCTCTTGTTTGATTTTCTATTTTCTCTGTCTTCCTCTTTCTTGGTTTATGACTTTGTTTTGGTAGAGTACAGTCTTTCTTTAAGAAAAATGTATAGGAATTGAAATTTTAAAGTTCTTGCATTGTTGGCAACAACTATTTTCTGCCCTCTATTTGCTGAACATTTGCCTGGGTTTGGAATTCTAAGGTGAAATTGTTCTAGATTTTGGCTCTTCTTTGACTTTGGAAGTTTTTTTGTCTTTTTTGTTTGTTTGTTTGCTTGCTTTCTGTTTTTAGACAAGTTCTCTTTGCATTGTTTAGGCTTGTCTGGAGCTCCCAATCTTCCAGTCTTAGCTCCCTGAGTAGCTGGGATTACAGGTGTATGTGACTGTGCTTAGCTGGAGGCTCTTCATGTCTGTGATCCATGGTTTATTTGTGTTTGCGAGAGGCCTACTCACTCTGAAGAAATTTTCACTATTTCAGAAATAATGCACATTTATCAGTGGAGATCTTCTGGGTTTGAAAAAAATATAGCCTTTCTTCTACAACCTCTTAAAGCATGTTTCACAGATAGATGAGCACTTGGAAATAATTGCATTTATTAGAAGATTATTCTCCTGTAAGGAAGATAAAAATAGGATCTTTTGCAAAGCTTGAAATGTAATATTTTCTCCTATACTGTCAATTCCATTGTTGCCTTAGAACAGACAAAAGGTCTGGAATTTTTCCCTCAAAATTCTTTCCAAATAACACTTCAGTAGTGTTCAGAGTGTACTTTTGTGAGAGTATCTTTAAATAATGGAGCATTTCGTATTTTGTAATTAAAAGGTAGAATTTCATTTAAAAAAAATTAAAAGACAAATTTTAAAAATCAAGTGCTTTTTATTCAATATTTTTATCTTAAAAGTATTCCATATTTTCTGATTTTATTCTTTACATTTAAATCTCTTATGTTTAGATCTTTTGAAATTTATTTTGCTGTAGGGAGAGAGGTATACTTCAAGTTTAGTTTAGTTTTTTTTTTCCCAGATTGCTAGCTGATCACATCTCTGTCTCTCTCTGCCTTTCTGTCTCTCTGTCTCTCTCTCTCGGTGCTGGTGACTGAACCCAGAGCCTTGTGTGTACTGAACAAGCACTGTACCACTGAGCTACATCTCTAGTCCCCTGATCTCATTTATTGAACTGATATCTTTTTTTTTGAACTGCTATCTTTATAATAACAAATTCCCAAGTATATCTCTCTATTTTGGGATTCACTATTCTGGTCTAGTGTTTCTGTCCATTCATGTTCAGGAACTAAACTGTTTTAATTATTGTGCTCATTACTTTCCTTTTCTCAGTTTTCCTGGCTATTTTTTGATATTTATTTCTCATAGCAATTTCTGAACCAAATTGTTTAGTTCCAAAAGTAGCACCGCCCCCTTTTAATATAGTATCTTGCTTTGTAGTTCAGGCTGCTTGAACTCAGTATATAGCTTAGGTTGGACTTGAACTTGTGTCAGTCCTCCTACCTCAGCCTCCTCAGTGCTGGGTTTGTAGGCATGCAACATTATGCCTGGCTCATTTCTATTTTTATAGGAATAGAGATTAAGAGTTAACTTTAGAAGAATGTATATCTTTATGATTTTGAGTATTCCAGTTTAAGTCCTATATTTTGCATGTCATTTTTCCTTATATATACAGAATCTGCCAAAAATTGTGTGCACACTTCAGGAAAAGAAAAACTTGTATAAATATTGTATACATAGTCTAATACTAAATTTATTAAGACATCGTAAGATTGATGCAAGTAACTTTTTTTTTTTGTACCAGGGATAGAACTCAGGTCCCTCCACTTGTGAGGTAGGTAGTGGAACCACTGAGCTAAATCCCCAGATATTGTTACTTTTGGCCTCTAAAATTACAAGAGATGTGAAAGGTGGTGACCATTAGCTTCTATACATTTGTTAGCATGGTGAACTGCTGCTTGGGTAATTTTGGTCATTGAGATGGATGCATGTGCATTTTTAATTTGTTCTCTAAGGGATAGCAGTGAAGTGGGTTTTCTGCAATATATGACATCCTCTAGGGTCCGCCATATGAAGGGAACACCATCTGTTGAAAAACCATCATACTGCCGGGCATCGTGGCGCACGCCTGTAATCCCAGCACTCGGGAGGCTGAAGCAGGAGGATCGCTGTGAGTTCGAGACCAACTTGGGCTACATAGTGAGTTCCAGTTCAGTCTCAACTACATAGTGAGACCCTGTCTCAAAAAACCAAAAAAAAAAAAATACTATTTTTCTTTTCCTGAGGTGTATATACATTTTTTGGTGGACTTTGTTTATATAATATCGGATATTTTATTTTTACTGCTTTAATTATCATTGGTCTCTTTTCTTCCATAATAACACCTAACTGGTTGTAGTCAGTTTTTATATTAGAAAGCTTTTATTTTTATTTTTTGTACCTAGTCACTTTTACAAATATCTTATTGTTTAAAATAGATACTTTTCCATTAAAAATATCTTTAAAAGGCCTGCATGGTAGTACATGCCTGTAATTCCAGCACTTGGGAAGCTGAGGCAGGAGGATTGCTGTGAGTTTGAGGCCAGCCTGGGCTACATAGTGAGTTCAAGGCCAACCTGGACTAAATGGCAAGATCTTTACTTAAAAAACAACAAAACAAGTTTCTAAATTAGGAAACATAGACAGATACATACTTAAACTCATACGCCCAGTTTAATAGTTACAGAAAACACACGCCTTTGCACTACCACCTGAATGAAGGATAGATACCTCCAGCCCAAAAGTCACCTCGCCCATCATTACTTTCAGTTGAGATGGTTAACATGTAAAATTCAGGAGACTTTATATAAAAATCCACTCTCTGCCTTCCCTTGAGAAGTCAGAAAATGTGGCTGTGCTGGGCCAGGTGGAGCCATGGGCAGTGACCTTCTCAGTTGGAGTGCACACATGTGAGCTCGGCTTGCGGCCAAGTGTCACTTACTGTTCATCGTCATGCTTTCCTTGGAGATAGCTGAATTTCTGAACTTTGCTTCAGAATATAAAAATAGAAGGAGCTGGTAGTAGTTGTAGGATGTTGGAAAGTGGGCCTGAGGGAGGACATGTGGTTCTGGTGTAGGCAGGAGGGTGCTGCTGTCTCTGGGGTGCTGCCCATCCCTGGTGATGCTCTTCCTCAGTTCTGCTCTTCCCTGGAGGTATTCTTTCTGGGGTGCTGGTCTTCCTGGGGTGTAGTTTTTCCCTGAGGCAAGAGCTCCAAGTTTCCAGACAAGATTTTTTGTGGCAACACTGACCTTGAGGTATCTCTGAGACACACAGGGGAGTGATGTCTGGGAGGCAGTTGGAATACATACAAGTTTAGAGCTCCGCAGGACGTGGTGGAGCATGCCTGTAATCCCAGCCCTCAGGAGGCTGAGGCAGGGGAATCACAGTGAACTCAAGGCCAGCTTGGGTTACATAGTGAATTCAAGGCTGCTACATAGCAAGACTGTCTCAAAAAATAAGAAACAATGACAAAAAAATCCAAAAAACAAAAAACAAAAAACAAAACAAAAACCCAAGTCTAGAGCTCAGCCATGTTGATCTGGAAGTGATTGGCTTGCAGAGGAAGCTAGAGCCAAGGGAGTACATGATGTGATCCAGGGAGAGTTACTGAGCGTGAAGTCTTGAGGAATCCATTTACGGGAGCAGTAGGGGAAGCAGATTCTTTACTGTGCTCCAGCACCTGGCTCAATGATTCCCAGTGATAGTGGAGAGGGGAGGCTGCTGCTAGAGTGGGAAGAGTGGAGAAGGGAGAGCTATGATGTACAGTTAGGGAAAAGCATGTCTGAAAAAGTAGGGTGCGTCCCACAGTGACGTGAAAACCTACAGAAAGATCCAGGAGAAGAGCTGAGAAGCATCCCTGGGGCTCAGCTGTGAGAATCCTTGACAAGCTTGAAGAGTTTCAGAGGTGACAGCTGGGTGAAATGAGGAGCCTGCTCTCCGGGGATGAGAGTGAATGGAAAAGACAGAAAGGGAACCTTCTAGGATAGTCCTTTAGAGGAGCCAAGGTGTGAAGGGGAGGTCAGAGTGTGGAACCTGTAGCAGGATAAGTTTATTTAATTTAATTTTTTTTTTTTTTGGTACCAGGGATCGAACTCAGGTTCTTGAGCTTGCAAGGCAGGGGCCAGAACCACTGAGCTAAATCCCCAGCCCTTATTTAATTTATTTTTGAGAGAGGGTCTTGCTATGTAATTCAGGCTGGCACTGAACTCATGGTGATCCTCCTGCAGGATAAATGTTGAAAAGAGTTGTTTTTATTTACAAATTAAGACTGAAGCAACTTTCCATATTTTGATGGTAGGAAGGAACTAGTAGGTTGAGGGTATTAGTAGGTTGAATTGGAGAAAATGGTATCTGAGAAAGGAGGAAACAGGGAGCCTGGCAGGGGCAGTTAACCTTGGGTGTGGGGAGGAATTCTGTCGTAAATGGCAGAGGTCCTACTCGTGGAGACAGCTAAGCTTACAAGTTTTATAACAGGAAGTGGATGGAGTTCTCCCCGATGGCTTTTTAATTTCTGTGATTATGAGGCAAGGCTCTCTGCTGAGAGAGTGAGAGAGACCATCTTCAAGAAGAGCGGAAAGGATTTGCAAATAGTTTCTTGAGGGAATAGGAAGGAGAGCAGAGTGGGCAGACAGAGGCCTAGAGAGCCTACGAGAGAGGAGAGACCCTGAGAGCAGAATAGTGCTGATCTATAGGGTCCTGTGACTTTCTGTTGAATCACTCAGATTGGATTTGACCAGCATTTGGGGTTTGTTTTAGATGATTTACGCTAAAAAAATGAGACATAAGAGTGAGGATTGGTGCAAAAGGGATGTAGCTCTGTGGAGGATGCAGATGCTTAGCACATATGAGACCCTGGATTCAATCTCCAGCACCAATAAAGACAGACAGACAGAACAGGGCATTTAGCTTAGTGGTGATGCCACCTGCCTCGCAAGCTCAAGGTCCTGAGTTTGATCCCCTATACCAAAAAAAAAAAAAAAAAAAAAAAAAAAAAAAAAAAAAAAAAAAAAAAAAAAAAAAAAAGAAAGAAAAAGAGAAGAAAAAAAGACAGACAGCAGGCTCTGTGGAGGACAAAGTGAAAGTGGGAGGGAACTGTGAGGCAAGAAGAGAAAACAAATCTTTCCTTTTGCTTAAGTGGTATGGGGAAGGAGCAAATATAATTGTATCTGGTCCGTCTTTGTCACCCGGAAGTTCTATTTCCCCCTATCTCCAAATTCCTTTGTGCTTCCCAACCCCACACTCCTTGTTCCATTGCTGGCTCTAGTTTGTCCTCTCTACAGTCCACTCCACTGCTCTGCTTTTCTGTCTCTCCAGGTCCCTTTTGATTCTCTTTGTGGAGATTGACTACTGGGAAAGGCTGCTATTTGAGATTCCTCATTATGTGGCAAATGTAGCTGAGCGAGGGGAGGACTTGCGCGTCCTGAGGGAGAATCTGCTACTTGTTGCTCGAGACTACAATAGGTATGGTTCCAGTCCCTGTAGCCCTTCTGGATGTGGTTTTGTTCTCCTCTTTGTTTTATCTACCCTGTGATATTGTCCATTCCCTACAATTTCTGAACCTTATTACATTTTGTCCATATAAAAAATGTTTTCCCAATAATTCTCTTATGGCCCTATCATTATTTCTGTCCCTTGTATTGTAGTTTTGTCTTTTAGCTGTAGAGAAGAGAGCAAACCAACCAGGTCCCTCCCACCCCATAGGACCCTTCTTTAGAAATGAAGCTGAGTGGCATTAGTATTATGGGAACAAGATGACACCAGGTTCATTGAACCAAGGCCATGATGCCTCCATACCACTCCCATCCCCTTGGTCTCTAAACTCCTGTTACCCATCCCTGGAGTGTCACTTTGTTCTGTGTTATGTACTACCTTAGTAAGTTCAGATTGCTGTAACAAAATATCATAGATTGGGTGACTTATAACAACAGAAATTTATAATTCATAGTTCTGGATGCTGGGAAGTCAAAGATCCAGGTAGATTTAGTGTCTGGTAGGGCCCTTTTCCTGGTTCATTGATGGCCACTTTCTGCTGTGTCCTTACATGGTGGGAGGCAACAGAAGCTTTCTCAGACCTACTTTATCAAGGCGCTAATTCCATTCATGAATGCTCAGCCTTCATGACCTAATAATTTCCCAAAGGCCCAATACCTAACACTGTCATCCTGGAAGTGAGGATTTCAACTTAGGGACTTGGGGCACCTGGGATGGGGGAACACAAGCATTCAGACTGGAGCAGGTAAGTTTCTCAGTCCAGCTCAGTGAAAGTCCAAGGGATGGAACAAGTAATCTTGTTTGAGTATTTAGAATTGCTGTGTTCAGTATGGTAGCCTCTAGCCACATAGGACTATTTGCATTTAAATTAATTCATTAAAATTTTAAAACGTAGGTGCTCATTGGCACAGGCCACATTTCCAGAGCTCCATAGCCACATGAGACTACTGTCAACTATATTGGACAGTCCACATTTTAGATTTCGACCATGACAGGAAGTTTCTTTTGAAAATACTGGTTTAGAATTGAACCTTCAGATTCCCTCACCCAGTTTCCTGGTGTTGAGAGGTCTTCAGAGTTTGTCCCTACCAGCTGATAGTCCTCTCTTATACACAGGATTATTGCCATGCTGTCCCAAGATGAACAGGCCCTGTTCAAAGAACGTATCCGATTCCTGGATAAGAAGATCCACCCTGGCCTAAAGAAGCTAAATTGGGCCTTGAAGGGGGCCAGCGCCTTCTTCATCACAGAGTGCCGCATACATGCCAGCAAGGTGGGCCATAGCCAGTCGATCCTAAGACCTACAAGGGTGATAAAAGGCTGGCTCATGGGTAACCAACACAAGTCTGGGGTGGGGGTGGAGAGTCTTGGGAGTAGCACACAAGAAGTTAAGTGTGTTGGTGAAGGACTTCTTTTATGTTAGCAGCTCTAGCTAGAGAGCAGGGGGAGGGGAGGATCAGGTCTATAGGGTCTGAAACTCCCCCATGGGAGGAAGATCCAAGATACAAGGTGCCAGGACAGTTCAGTGGAAGAGGTGCTAGTTCATAGATGGTGGCCATCTGTGAACCACGGTGGGATTTGACTCTAGGTGCAGATGATTGTGAATGATTTCAAGGCCTCCACTCTGACCATTGGCTGGCGGGCCCAAGAGATGTCAGAAACACTGCTGGTTCGTATTAGTGGCAAACGAGTGTACAGGGACCTGGAGTTTGAGAAAGACCAAAGAGAACATCGGGAAGGTGTACAGCAGAAATTGGTAAAACTACACCAGGATGTGGTAAACATCATGACCAACTCCTACGAAGTCTTCAAGAATGATGGCCCTGAGGTAGGGGTATGGTTCCGAGGGCTCTGTGTTGGACAGAACCTCTGTCCCTGGTCTCAACATACCATTCTCTTCCCCTTTTACTGTGTTTCTCAGTCATCCTTTTCTAGTCCTGGATTCAGCCAGCCTTGAGTCTTTCTAACCTCCTCCTCAGGACTCAGTATCCTACCTTTCTGTTTAAGCAGCCTGTCCTCTTCACTGCCAGCTGGCTGACATTGCCAGGGCCTGCTCTGCATTACCTCAGGGCTTCTTTCTCATCCTCTTTCCCCACCAGATTCAGCAGCAGTGGATGTTGTACACGATTCGGCTGGACCGCATGATGGAGGATGCCTTGCGCCTGAATGTGAAGTGGTCACTGCTGGAGTTGTCCAAGGCCATCAACGGGGATGGGAAGACCACTCCCAACCCACTTTTCCAAGTTCTTGTCATTTTGCAAACTGATGTGCAGGGAGGTGGGGCACAGGTGAGAACTACTGTGGCTCCAACAGGTAAAAAATATCACACCTTATTCATCAGTTTCCCTCAATCCCTAAACTTGATCTTTGGCCTTGGCTGTCTACAATGGCCCCCAAGTCTGGTCCTGAAGAATTCAGCCTTATCAGTCCTGAGGCTTGTCCCCTTTGTGAGCTGTGTTAAGGCCATCTCCACTGTGCTCCTCACAGGTGGAATTCTCACCCACCCAGCAGACTCTCGCAGGTGTGGTCAATGACATTGGCAGTCACCTTATTTCTACCATTTCTGTCTTCCGCCACCTTCCTGACATCCTTATGAAGCGCAAGGTGCAACGGGAACCCATCCATATAATTGTGGGTAAGTGGGCAGTTAGAAAAGAACAAGGTATGGGGTTATCAGAGACTGGGCAGAGATAAGAGGTGAGACCAGGATTGTTTCCAGATGTATTGGACCAGTGATCTCCTTTGCCAATGGGAAACCAACTCAGGGGGCCAGACTGGGGAAGGGAGCAAGGGCATCAGTGGAGCTTGAGATTAGGTGACTAGTGCTCAAGAAATTTGGGAACTGGTGGTGAGTAAAGACAAGTTTGACAGTGATGGAGGGCTAGAGGAGGCCTAGATCCCCACAGGAGAGCCCTCTGATCCTCAGGAAGAGACAGAGTCATACCTTTTCTTGCTGCCTCCTCCTCTGCCTTCTAATGCTCATGTTTGAGTGGTGCTTCTTTGAAGAACTGTTGTTGGAGTGGAGGGTCCAGGGCAGTGCCCAGGGGCCAGGCTGGAACTTGGATGGGGTGAACATCAGCACAAAGAAATATGTCTTTTTAAGAGCGAGATGAGGACATCAAGAAGATCCAGGCCCAGATCAGCAGTGGCATGACCAACAATGCAAGCCTGTTGCAGAACTACCTCAAGACCTGGGATATGTACCGGGAAATCTGGGAGATCAACAAAGACTCCTTCATCCGTCGCTACCAGCGCCTCAACCCTCCTGTCTCTTCTTTTGATGCTGACATTGCCCGGTGAGTGGAAAGGGAAGTGCAGGAGTCCTAAAGATGTGTGGAAGTACTGTAATTAGAGGAGGGACTCGTCTCGCAGACTGGGGTGGGACAGTGCAGACATCAGTGTCCTCAGCTACAGGAAAACAGTAGGGCTGAGGATACTGGACCTTTGTTCCTCAAGGGTGGGGATCTTGGAAGAACTGGGCTGGGTTTAGGGAAAAGCCATTGTTTGGGAGAGTACAGCACAGTTCCATTGGGAAAAAAGAAATGCTAGTGATCTGAAAGATGACAGAGGCAGGCTGGAGCCGGGCGTGGTGGCGCACGCCTGTAATCCCAGAACTCGGGAGGCTGAGGTAGGAGGATTGCTGTGAGTTTGAGACCAGCCTGGGATACATAGTGAGTTCGAGGTCAATCTACATAATGAAACCCTGTCTCAAACAAACAAACAAACAAACAAACAAACAAAGAAGGCAGGCTGGGATGCAATTGAAGATGACCTTAACTGCCAGCTTTTCATGCCCCTTGATCATTCATTCATTCACTCATTCATTCAGTAAACATGATTGTCTGATAGGCCATAAAGAGTTAAGAAAAAAGAGAGAAATTAACAAGTTCACCTACCTCCATGGGCTGTAGTATAATAAGGAAGATAGAGGTATTGTTAACAGCAGTCACTGTGGTGGCTGAGGAAGGCTTGGGTCCCAACTCTGCCACGACTCACTGTGCAATCTTAGGCAGATGTCTTATATTCTCTGGGCCTCTTTCTTAGGAAACATATTATGTAACCTACCTCGGGACATCGTGAGATTACTAAATATACAGGAAAACACTTGTTAAACTCTAAATAACTGCACTATACTTACTATATAAGCCTCAGTGTGATGCATGCTATGATAATGGATTTACATGGTGCCAGTACAATTCAGTGGAAAGTGTGTCAGCTTCCTGTTACTATAAAAAATAACTCAGACAATTTATAGTGAGAAAAGGTTTTTTTGACTCACAGTTTTGAAAGTTTTATTTCATGACCAGTTTACTTCATTGCTTTGGGCTTGTGGAGGCACATCATAGTGAGAGTAAAGCCATAAACTTCATGGCTGGTACTAAAAGAGAAGAGTGGTCCAGGGTCCCCCTATCTCCTGCAAGAACACGTATGCAGTGACTGGAAAACCTCCCAGTAGGCTCCACCTCTTAAAGTTCCTACCACCTCCCAATAACATCAAGCTGGAGACTAAGCCTTTAACATGTGAACTTTGGGAACATTTAAAATCCACAGGATAAGCTAGGCATGGTGATGAATGACTGTAATCCCAGTACTTGGGAGGCTGAAGCAGGAGAACTGCTGCGAGTTCAAGATCAGTTGGGTTGCATAGTGAGTTCAAGGCCAGCCTGAATTACAACAGAAAGTTAAATAAATATCAAATCCAAGGATAGCAGAATTGCCAACAAGACGCACCAGGAATGACTTCACAAAGGAAGTCAACTTGGGGCTGTGCTTTATAAGATAGGTAGTATTTTGGCAGGCAGAGATGGGCATACATCTCTAATCCCAGCTATTTGGGACACTAAGGCAGGAGGGTCACTTGAGCCTAGGAATTTAGGGCTAGCCTAAGCAATAGAGAGGCCCTGTCTCTTAAAATGGAACACCTCCTGAGGTCCCAGAGCTAGGAAGCAGCACGGTTGATTCCAATCCAGACCTAAGCAACTCCAAGGCATTGAATGCCAAGGAAAGGGATGTGACCACTCTCTTCTAGCCAGCAGTTTGGAAATTAACATGGTCCCAGCTGTCTTCCCGGACTGGTTGGTGCAGAACACTCCCCCTAGGAGAAAGGACCCTCGGGAGCTGCTGCACAGGTCTGGGTGGAAGGAAGTGGGGACCAGAGCCAGCATAGAGGCAGAGGCATGTCTGCTAAGGAAGATCATGCTAGTGAGGTTCTGGGGTCCTTACAGCTACACAGAGGTGGCTAACAATGTGCAGAAGGAAGAGACGGTCCTCAACATCCAGTTTGTGCTGCTGGATTGTTCACACCTCAAATTCTCGCTGGTGCAGCACTGCAATGAGTGGCAGAATAAATTCACAACTCTGCTCAAGGAGATGGCAGCAAAACACCTGCTGGAGCTGCACAACTATCTACAGGAGAATGGAGAGAAGTAGGGTTTGGCTGGGATGGGTGGGGTGGGCTGGGGGGGGCTCTGCTTTCCACCTACAACATTCTCTCTGCCACCTTTAGAATCAGCCACCCTCCCCAGACACTGGAGGAACTGGGGGTCAGTTTGCAGCTCATGGATACCCTTCAGCACGATTTGCCTGACCTGGAGACCCAAATCCCACGCATCCATGAGCAGTTCACCATTCTGGAGAAGTATGAGGTGCCAGTTCCAGAAAATGTGAGTCCTGGTAGTGTTTGGTCCACCTGAGTTGGGCCCATATCAGCATCAACAGATTGTAGGAGACTCTGGTGCTGTCAGAGGGCAGTGCAGAGAAGTGATAAGAGGAAAAGGCTCAAGATTCTGAAGCTCTTGAGAGGCAAAGTTAACTCTAATGGTCTTTCTAGTCAGCTTCTGAATTTCTTTTAAGCCCAGCAACTCATTGCTTAATTTCTTGGAGCCTCATACATGAAAAGCTTGTCCATGAGCCAAGCTGGTGGTCTGAATCTCTAGTCCTAGCTGCTCAGGAGCCTGAGATGGGAGGATCACTTGAGCCCAGGAGTTCATGGCCAATTTGAGCAACCCTGTCTGAGAAAAGCAAGAGCACTTTCTTGGTTAGCATACATGAGGCATAGGGTCCATCCTCAGCAACACACACACACACGCAAACACACACACACACACACACACACACACTCAGCATAGGGGAGGACAGACATCCTACAGATGGGTCATCCTCATCTTCCCCTCTCTGGCATCCCCAGGTACTGGAAATGCTGGACAGACTCAATGGGGAGTGGGTCATCTTCCAACAAATTCTGCTGGACAGTGAACAAATGCTGAAGAAACACAAGGAGAAATTCAAGACGGGCCTTATTCTCTCTGCTGATGACTTTAAGAAGAAAGCACACAACCTGCTGGAAGATTTTGAGTTAAAAGGTATTCCCCGCTCCATCTCTCCCCTCCTTTCACCTTTGAGACCCAGTGTTCCAAGCTTGTGTCCTGGGAAGGAGAGCACAGGGTGGGAGGAGTTAGGACAGAGGTGGGAAGGGAGGAAGTGGTGGCTACCAGGACTTCTGTGGATGACAAAGCACGCATGCACTTGGAGCAGAGTGTTGGTTGGAAGGCGGCAGCCCTGGCCACATGTCCAGTGTCCTTACACCACCCTCTTACACTTGTGTTCCATCAGTTCTACAGTGACATTAAATAGTTCTTACTAAGATTCCCCAGTACTCAGCACATTGTTTCCTTTTAGTGTCCTTCCCTTTCCGCTCTCCTTTGAGGGGAGAAGTAATTTGCCTGCAAAGAGATAGGGCAGCCATGACCTTGCTTTGAAGGATCATGGACTTGAGTGGAAACTGAGCTGCACTTTGAACTCCCCCAGGCCCCTTCACCAGCACGGTGGGCCACATGGCTGCCCTGGAGCAGATTGCACAGGTGCGGGCCATGCTGATGGCTATGCGGGAGGAAGAGAACAGTCTCCGCTCGAACCTGGGCATCTTCAAGATTGAGCAGCCGGCCTCCAAAGACCTCCAGAGCCTGGAGAAGGTGATGTGCTGAGCTAGTCCCTGTGGGAATGAGGGATGGGGGCGGGGCCAGGAGGTCTGCTCCTAGGGGACTGCAAAGACAGCTGGGACCAGGCAGATGAGCACATGAACAGCTTTTTCTTTTTTTCAGTTGAGATAAAATTCACATAAGACTGTTTTAAAGTGAACAATTCAGTGGCATTTAGTACATCGCAATGTTGTTCAGCCATCACCCCTGACTAGTTACAAAATATTTTATTACCCCAAAGGAGATCAAATGTCTATTAGCAGTCACTCCTTACACCCTCCCCTCCCACCCCTCTCAATTACAATTACAAATCTATTTTTCATGTTTGTGGATCTGCCCATTCTGAACCTTTTATATAAATGGAACTATATAATATGGGGCCCTTTTGTCTCTGACTTCTTTCCTTTTTTTTTTTTTTTTTTTGGTACTGGGGATTGAACTCAGGACCTTGTGCTTGTGAGGCAGGCGGCAAAACCACTGAGCTAAATCCCCGGCTCTCTGACTTCTTTCACTTGGAATAGTATCTTCAAGATTCACCCATGTCATATCAGTACTTCATTCCTTTTTATGGCTGAATACTATTCCATGGTTTGTATTTACCACATTTTGTCCATCCATCCATCAGTTGAAGGGCATTTAGGTTATTTTTGCCTTTCAGCTGTAGTGAGTTGTCCTGCTAGGAACATGCGTGTACGCCTATTTGTTTGAACACCTGTTCCTAATTCTCATGGGAAGCCTAGCAGTAGAATTTCTGGATCATATGTAACTATGTTTAAATGTTTGAGGCACTGCCAAGCTATTTTCCTCAGCAGCTGCACCATTTTATATTCCCACTAGCAATGTATGAGAGTTCCTATTTTTCCCCGTATCCTTGCCAACACTATTTCCCTCCAAAAAAGAAAAAAAAATTTTTTTTGGCTTTAGCCATCCTAGTGGGTATGAAGTGCTATCTCACTAAGGTTTTAATTTGCATTTTCCTAATGACTAATGATGTGGAGACTCTTCCTGTGCTTAGTACTTGATGAGCCCATATGGGCAGAGTTGAAGCAAATGAGAAGGGAGGTGGCACTGTTAGCTGGAGGAGCAGAGCAGAGGACCTCAGTGGCTGTCATGGAGGAAGAGGGTAGATGCCACTTCCACTAATGCGTCTTTGCTCTTGGCTGGCCTCACAGGAGCTCGATGCACTCCAGCAAATGTGGGAGATCACTCGGGACTGGGAGGAGAACTGGAACCAGTGGAAGACTGGCCGCTTCCTGACTCTGCAGACGGAGGCCATGGAGACCATGGCCCATGGGCTGTTTCGCCGCCTCACAAGACTAGCCAAAGAGTATAAGGTGTGGGGAGACAGGGCGAGGAGGCAGAGGAGGCACCCACTAAGGGAGGGGAGCCATGGCTGGGTCTTCTGATGACTCTGATGACTTTTGCTCAGGACCGAAACTGGGAAATTATTGAAACCACTCGATCTAAAATAGAGCAGTTCAAGAGAACCATGCCCCTCATCTCAGACCTGCGGAATCCTGCCCTTAGGGAGAGGTAAGGCTCCTTCTGGGTCCCTTGGGAGTCACTGCTTTGCCCCCCAAATCACCTCTTGGTTCTTCCTGATTTTCCTTTCAAGCACCCATAGCATTTCTTTTTTCGTTGTCATCAAAAATGCATCTTTTTTCCCTCTTTCAAAAAAAATATATTTTATGTATTTTGTTAGTTATTGCAGAATGGAGGATCAAATCCAGGGCCTGGATATGCTAGGCAAGTGCTCTCTACCAGTAAGCACCCTCCAGCTCTAAAATTTATTTATTTAATTTAAAATTTTTATTTTTACTGTTTTTTAATCTCTGGAAATAGTTATTGAACCCAGAGATACTCTACCACTGAGCTAGCTCACCAGTTCTTTTTATTGTTTTATTCTGAGACAAGGTCTTGCTAAGTTGGTGAGGCTGGATCTTTCTACTGCAGCCGTCAGTGGCTGGGATGACAGGCTTAAGCCACCATGCCTGGCTTTTATTTTATAGTTGATAAAAATTGTATATATTTATAATGTATAACATGATGTTTCAAAATATGCATACGTTGTGGAATAGCTCAGTCGAACCAATTAACATACACATTGTCTCACATGCTTATTTTTTTGTGGTAAGAACATTTAAAATGTATACTTAGCGATTTTCAAGCATGCAACACATTGTTATTAACTATAGTCACCATGTTGTACCACAGATCTCTTAAATTTATTCCTCATGGGAAACCGAAAGTTTGTACCCTTTGAGCAACGTCTCTCAGTCCTCCTCCCATCCCCAGCCTCGGTAATCACCATTCTCTCAGTTTCTGTGAATTTGACTTTTTAAGATTGTTCTTATAAGTGAGGTCATCCAGTATTTATCTTTCTGTGCCAGTATTACTTTGCTTAACATAAAGTCCTCCAGGTTCATCCCTTTAGTTGCAAGTGACAGGATTTCCTTCTTTTAAAGATGGAATAGTATTCCACTATGTATAAATGCCACATTTTTAGGGCCAGGGTTTTATCTCAGTGGTACCACACCTGCCTTGCAAGCACAAGGTCCTGGGTTTGATCCCTGGTACCAAAAATAAAAAAATAAATAAAACCACTTTTTTTGTGTGTGGTAGAGGGGATCAAACTCAGGCCCTTGCTCTTGCAAGGCAGGAGACAGAACCACTGAGCTAAATCCCTGGCCCTAATATCACATTTCTTTATCCATTCTTTGCTTGATGGACATTTGGGTTCATTCCATCCATATCCTGACTACTAACTGAGAATATGGTGGTGCAGGTGTCAAGAGTCAAGCCTGCCATTGCTTTCTGCTTCTTGTATCATTCTGGATTCTCTAGATTGACTGACTCTGTTCTCTGCCCCCTTCCCTGGGGCCTCCCTCTGTGCCCTCCTACTTTACCTGTTGTGGCTAAGCCTATGTCTTTTGTCATATAGAAGGTTTTATTTTGATACAGCCAAAGTAGGGTTTTGCTTTTGTGCTTTGTTTAAAAAGACCTTTCCAAGTCCAAAGTTGCAAATACATTCTTTCTTCTAATATTGTTTTTCAAGTTTATCTCTTTTAGTGAATCTGGAATTTATTATATAACAGAGGAGGCACTGCATGGTGTTTTAATCATTATCTACCCATTTAGGAGAAAATAATTTTTTTGCATTGCCTCCTGTGTAATGTTTTTGGCAGCATTTCATTTCTAAGTGGCAATGATTAAGTATAGCCCAAGCCCTTTATTTGCTTAAATTATTTAACCTGTCTGGTCTAAGCTTCAGTTTCCTCATCTGTAAATAGAATAATACTTCCTAATTTATGGAGTAATTATGAGAATTAAATGTGACATTTCATGTAAAGCATGTGGCCTAGTGCATGATCCATAGTAAACTTGTGCTAATTTATTGAGTGTTTTGTATGCACACCTGCCTTAACTCTCTCTCCAGAGAATCAGCTTCTGGAGGGTGTCATGTCAATTGCTGTATTCCCTAAGGTGCCCGAGATTGCACCTTAGAGCCTATATAGTAAAATCTCTTGAATCATGAATTAATAAATACCAGAATCATAATGTCATCACAGTGTCCCAATGGAAAGAAGCACAGGGAGTGATTTTTTTTTTCTTTTCCTTTTTTTAATATTTTGGCACTGGAGATAGAACCCAAGGCCTGACACATGCTAGGCAAGTGCTATACCACTGAACAACACACTCAGCCCCAGGGAGTGATACACTTTTTAGTAGGCCCTAGTATGTGGCCTCCTGATCAGATCTCCTGTTTCTGGCTGTAGGCACTGGGACCAGGTCAGGGATGAAATCCAGAGGGTGTTTGATCAGGAATCTGAAAGCTTCACCCTGGAGCAGATTGTGGAGCTTGGAATGGGTCAGCATGTAGAAAAAATTGGGGAGATCTCTGCCTCAGCAACCAAAGAGCTGGCCATAGAATTGGTAAGACCCCCCCCCCAACACACACACACACAACAGCCTTCTGGAGCACAGGCTTCTAGCTGTCCTTCATCTGAGGACACTGCCCACCTCCTCCTCTCCTGAGGCTAGTTAACTGGATGCTCTGTCTCCCAATTTCTCTTCATAGGCATTACAGAACCTTGCCAAGACCTGGGATGTGACTCAGCTAGACATAGTACCCTACAAAGATAAGGGCCATCACCGCCTAAGGTAGAAAGTGACCTGGAGTCCAGGAGAGGGGAGGGCATGTGAGCTGGGCTGCAGAGTGGGGATCAAGTTTTGGCAGATTGGCATGGACTACTACACTGACCCCTTGTGCTCCAGAGGTACAGAAGAGATATTCCAGACCCTGGAAGATAACCAGGTAGCTCTGTCAACCATGAAGGCATCACGTTTTGTCAAGGCCTTTGAGAAGGATGTGGACCACTGGGAGCGTTGTCTGTCCCTTATTTTGGAGGTTATTGAGATGGTGCTCACTGTGCAGCGTCAATGGATATACCTAGAGGTCAGGACTTGGAGCCTAAGCTCTTTCTACTTCCCGCCTTTGCTCTGTGTGTAGTCAGGACCTACCTTTTTGCCCTAATATCAATCTCATTGTCCTACCTCTCAAAAGTGTATCTACATCCCAGCTGTCTGACCCTTAGCTATTACCTTATGTTCCTTCCCTGTTGGCTTTTGTTCTTCTCGGATTCTCATTCCATATTTTTTTCTTGAAACCAGCTACCCGACTTCCAATCCCCACTTTCCTTGGTCATATGGGCTGTTAGTTTCTAGTGTTCTGTGTTTTCCACTCAATTGTCATCCCTGATTCAGGAGCAGGGAGCAGAAAGGGGAGAGAGTGTGGGAAGAAGCCTCTCACCCCTATCATTTGCCCGTCAGAATATCTTCCTAGGAGAGGACATCCGCAAGCAGCTGCCCAATGAATCAGCCTTATTTGACCAGGTCAACAATAACTGGAAATCCATCATGGACCGAATGAGCAAAGACAACAATGCTCTCCGGAGTACCCACTACCCAGGTCAGAGCTCTGTGGCCCTTGCCCCAACATAAGCTCCTCATTTGGTTCTACATGTATGTGAGGTCATGGCCACATGCTTCATTTGTAAAATGACTGACTCTGTACCTGACTATCATAGCACTTCCTGTCACCACTGCCTTTTCTAAGCATTAAATAATAGTTTAGTAAATTAAATTTAACAATTATGTGAGTGGAATGTAACATTGTGGTTAAGAACACAGGATATGAAATCACACAGCATTGGGTTCAAAACCTGACAAGTTGGGGATGTTGGCCCATGCCTGTAACCCCAGAACCCAGGAGGCTGAGGCAAGAGAATTGCTCCATATTTGATTTAAGCCTGCCTCACAAGCACAAGGACCCAAGTTGATGTAAGCCTGGGCTACATAGTGAGTGCAAGGACACTCAACTGGGTAGTGAGACCCTGTTTTGATACCTACCCCCCAAAATGGAAATACTTAACAAAATTTATTGTGGAGCAATTTATAAGCAAAGCCATTAAAACGATGATCTTGTCATTGAATGCACAGAACAAACCCATCTGGCTCATGGCTACTGTGTCCTTCTGTGGTTTCCAGGAAGTGATCACTTAGGGAGGCATGCAAAGGTTCCAAAAGCTGTTGACTCTGTACATCCTTACAGGCATGAAGGTCACTTCAGGGTTCACACTTGGGAGCATCAAGCTAGAAACTAGGAAAACCAAGGAAAAACCAATCAAGACCTAAGACAGAGATGTAGGCTAGGAGGATACTAAGATTACTGGGAATGTACAAGTGTGAACACATTTTGTTTAATATCCTTTGTGTGTGTATGTCTCTGTGTGTGGTGTTTTCCCACTAAGCTATATTCCCAGGTCTTTGTTAAATATCATGAATTGGGTTTTTTTTTTTTTAGATAGATCTTATGACCATTTTACTGAAACCAGAGGTGGAAACTCAACAAGGTTAACTGACATGCTAGTAAGTTTAAGAACTGAGATTAGAGCAGTGGTTTTCTGCATCACAGCCTGGTGTCCCTTCTGCTAGGCATGAGGGACACAGGTGTCCCTAGTGGGTATAGGCTTCTTTCATTGAGTACATGTGATGTGTATTTAAATCTAATGACGTAACCTGTTAGCTTATGTAAATGCAAAACAGTCTCCAGTTTTTAGAAACTCTTGGATTGACCAACATTGTCCCAAGTTTTTAGGTGGAATAGGACTGTTGGGACTGTCATATGATGCATAATTAATGCTACAGTATGTATAATAGCATGTAATGAATAATTCATAATAAATTACAGGATGGGATAAGCATGATAGCGGAATGGAGATACTTCTTCTAAAACTCTTATGCAATCCGAACTTTGGAACTGGCAAAGTTAGAGCTGAGCTCTAGATCTTTGCAGGGCAATGGTAAAAAGACCATCAAATGTCATTTATTGTTCTTTTTCCCAGGCCTTCTGGATATATTGATAGAAATGAACACAATCTTGGAGGATATTCAGAAGTCTCTGGATATGTATTTAGAGACCAAGCGCCATATTTTCCCTCGCTTCTACTTCTTGTCCAATGATGACCTGCTGGAGATTCTGGGCCAGTCTCGCAACCCAGAAGCTGTGCAGCCACATCTCAAAAAATGTTTTGACAACATCAAATTGCTGAGAATCCAGAAGGCCAGTAGAGGTGGCCATGATGGGATGGAAGGCAAAAAAGGGATGGTGATGTCAAGAAATTCAATTTCAGCTAGTTGCGGTAGCACATGCCTATAATTCCACCGCACCCTAGTAGGCTGAGGCAGTACAGTCTGGTCAACCTAAGGACTTAGTGGACCCTGTTTCAAAACAAAAAATTTAAAAAGGCCTGGCAAAGCCAGGGGTTTAGTGCTGTCCTGAGTTCAATCTCCAGTACCCCCCCCAAAAAAAAAGGAAAAGAAAAGGTCTGGGGATATAGCTTAGTGTGAAGTCCCTGGGGTTCAATCCCCAGCCCAACACATACACACACACACACATACACACACACACAGACATACAGATTCAATTTCAAGGCTTTGGAAGGGACGGTGCCTGTTCAACAAGAAGGTAATACTAATTAATGATTCTAGATTCACGCAGGATAGCACTTTTTACAATTGGTAATATTGAAAGGACAAAAAGAAATTCCCCTCAGAAGGGGCCCATATATAGGCAGATACCAAGAGTGGGCATGCCAGTCCACTAATAGCTGCTTTTTTCTGCAGATGGGAGGGCCCAGCAGCAAGTGGGAAGCTGTGGGAATGTTCTCAGGGGACGGGGAGTATATTGACTTCTTCCATCCAGTACTCTTAGAAGGGCCTGTGGAGGTGAGTTGTGGCAATGGTCTAAGAACCAAGCTGATTGTGCTTCCTACCAGAAAGTTTGCTTGGCTCTGTGAGGACACAACTTCTCTTTGGAGGGACATTGGTTGCTCTTTCAGTTGCTCCCGCTCCCCTCATCTCATCTACCATTCCTAACAATTAAAATGTCTACCTTGAACCTAAGTCTCTCTCTAAAAATCAGATACTCTGTCTCCTGGCTTCCATTTCCACTGAGGACCCAAACCTACTATTGCACAGTTCATTCTGTTTCCCTAGCACCTTCCCTTTGGGGATCTTTGACTCTAACCCTGAAGTTGAACCATTCTGATCTTTTTTTTTTTTTTTTTTTTTTTTTGAGGTAGGCAGCAGAACCACTGAGCCAAATCCCCAGCCCCGCCCTTTATTTTTTGTACCAGGGATCCAACTTGGGATCTTGAACTTGGGACCTTGTGCAAGGCAGGTGGAACCACTGAGCTAAATCCCTGGTCCCTATTCTGATCTTTTACTTCTCCTCAGTCCTGGCTTGGGGATGTGGAACGGGCCATGAGGGTGACCCTGCGAGACCTTCTTCGGAACTGCCGCCTGGCACTCAAGAAATTCCTTAACAAGAGGGACAAGTGGGTGAAGGAGTGGGCTGGCCAGGTGAGCTGGGATCAACAGAAATGAGAAACATTAAAGTTGGTGCTAAGAAGGAATGGCGAGTGGGAAGACTAGAGTCCCACAAAATGGTTTCTTGCACTTTTATGGGGGGTGCTATGGCTCTGGTACCCTACATGCTGGACCCATAGCTGCTGACCTGAGACATGTGTCCTATCCTCAGGGCAGATGAGGCATAGTGAGCACCTACTTCTGGAGGGAGCTGGAGCTCGGGAGCTGGGCTGGATGGGTGGACAAGGGCAGGGCCTTGGAATCAGCTTCTACACCCACCCAGATGGTGATCACAACCAGTCAGATCCAATGGACAGCTGATGTAACCAAGTGCCTGTTGACAGCTAAGGAGAGGGCTGACAAGAAAATCCTCAAGGTCATGAAGAAGAAGCAGGTGGGGAACTCTTCAAGTATGGGATAGGCCTGGAGTTGGAATTGATGGGAGGGAGGTGACTAGAGTAAGAGTTAGAGATAAGCTTGTTGTTGCAAAAGGGTCAGAAAGAGGGTGACTTGGACAGAAGTCCACTAAGCAGAGTTTGGTGTGGAGCAGAATCAAGCTTTCCTGTGCCGAGGTTGGGTGTAGGGTTACAGTGGGTGGGATCAGCTTTGGGTTGAAGGTGGCCTTAGATTGAGGGAAGTGTGAATTGGCTTTGATTGTGTCGCTTTGTCTATTCTTCCTTCCTGTCTAATCCCACAGGTTTCAGTACTGAATAAGTATTCAGAAGCCATCAGGGGAAACTTGACCAAAATCATGCGGCTTAAAATTGTGGCTCTAGTGACAATAGAAATTCATGCTCGAGATGTGTTGGAAAAGCTTTACAAGAGTGGCCTCATGGATGTCAATTCCTTTGACTGGCTCAGCCAGCTTAGGTTCTACTGGGAGAAGGTGCCAGGAGGGACATTTCCCTACTCTCTTGCCCTAATTCTGATCCTAAGGCTTTCATTAAATTCATGATGTCTAAATGCAACAATATCCTAACCCAATCCTTAGTCCTATCACAGTACCCTAATCTAGTCCCCACTCTGTCTCACCGAATCCAGGGTGGCAGGCAGTTGTTCCAGGCAGAGCTTACATCACATAATTGCAACTCAGAAAGACTTCAGGCAGCTGCTGCCAGTGATCAGCCTGGACATGCTATATGAAACCCTCTTTCTATCTTGGCCATAAACTCTCCCCTCCTCCTACCTCTGAAGCAGAAGCTCCAGTCTCCCTTCAACCCCCTCCTCTCTTGGAGCCCTGCTCTCAGCCATCCCTGCAGCTCTGGTCTTCTTCCCAGCCCACTTCCATCTCACTGTGCCCTATCTCATCAGGATCTCGATGACTGCGTGATCTGCCAGACCAACACACAGTTCCAGTATGGCTATGAGTACCTGGGAAACTCTGGCCGGCTGGTCATCACCCCTCTGACGGACAGGTCTGCCCGGGGGGTTAAATGAGGTGGTTGGGGTGAGGGCTGTGGAGCTGAGATTGGCTTCCAAGAGTCTGACCAGAGACCTGCTCTCCATTCTTAGATGTTACATGACACTGACGACGGCTTTGCACTTACATCGAGGGGGCTCCCCCAAAGGCCCAGCAGGCACTGGGAAGACAGAGACTGTCAAGGACTTGGGCAAGGCCCTGGGCCTTTATGTCATCGTGGTCAACTGCTCTGAGGGCCTGGACTATAAATCCATGGGCCGAATGTATTCAGGCTTGGCCCAGGTCAGTATCCTGGCATAATGTCCCCAGAGGTCCCTTTATCTTTATTTTAGTCCCAAGAAAATCAAGTGAAATCTGAATCTGCCTTGGTGCTTTATATCTTGTAACATGGCATTACCTCAGGTAATTCTTGCTAACCTTCCCCATGCTTCCTGTTGCTCGTTTGCCAAATCAGAAGATTATATAAGGATTAAATCAGATCCTACACTGAAACTGCTGGGATCACAGTGGCTACTCAGCATACACAAGTTCCCTGCTGTAGTTTTTCCAATTCAGGTCTTTTCTACCATTGTCCTGGGCTGTCCTCAGGAGCTGTGACAGTGCTGCTCTGGTACCCTCCTGCACCCTGTATTTTAAAGGCCACCTTGCATACAAAAACATTTTAAGGAACAGTGTGTTAATCAAGCTCTCTAGTGCTGGGGAGCACCTCTCTTCCTCCCAGTGACGCTGCCTCCCTCCCTCCACAGACAGGAGCCTGGGGCTGCTTTGATGAATTTAACCGTATCAACATCGAGGTGCTGTCAGTGGTGGCCCAGCAGATCCTGTCCATCCTCTCTGCCTTGGCTGCCAGCCTCACCCGCTTCTATTTTGAGGGCTTTGAAATAAATCTGGTGTGGTCTTGTGGGATCTTCATTACCATGAATCCTGGTAGGTAGCAGGGAATAAATGGACTTTCTGGGTGGGAGAGCTGGATACCCAGGGTCGGTACCTGTGGGTCATCCTCTTCCTCCTTCAGTGCCTCAGTGTATAGCCAGGCAAAATCTGGCTAAAGACCACAAAGGGCAAGAAAAGAATAAACACTAATTTGTCCTTTTTGGAACAAAAGGAAGGCAATCTTATTGTTCTCTCTGAAGGGATCACTAACTACTTATGTGTCCATAAGTGGCCTTAGTCTTTTAAGGCTTAGCTACCTTCTCCCATTGCAATTCTGGTTTACCTGCTGCCCCTTTGCAGGATGAGAGAATCCTCCTAAAGTGTAAAGCCTAGGGTCTCTCACTACAGTCCTCTAGGAACAGCTTGGGGGAAGGGTCTAGGAAAGAACAGGTGTAGGGTAGGGTTAAGGTCCCAAAACAAAGAAACAGCTGTGATTTCTATTAGGACTGATGTGAGCTATACATAGAATTTAGAGATGGGAAATCGGCAGCTGTGTATTTTCAGCTTGAAACAGGGCCATGCAGAAAGTAAGGAAAGGATTAGAGAGGAAAGAAAACCAAAGTGGAATGGGAAGAACCAGGGCTGGGATCAGAAAGGAAGCAACCTTGAAATTGGAGTTGTGGAGAAAATTAAGGATAGAGTGAGTGTTGGGCAAAGTGTGGTTGATTGGAAAGTGGGTTTGGGAAAGAAAGTTAAAGAAATACAGGCAGTCTAAACAAATGGCATTGTTTTCCAGGCTATGCTGGCCGCACAGAGCTTCCTGAAAATCTTAAATCCATGTTCCGTCCCATTGCCATGGTGGTGCCTGATTCTACCCTTATTGCAGAAATCATTCTCTTTGGGGAGGGCTTTGGCAACTGCAAGGTATTCTAATAATCCCTTTCTTCCAAAAAAAATTTTTTCTTTTTGTACCAGGGATTGAACTCTGGTCCTTGTGCCTGCAAGGCAGGCGGCAGAACCACTGAGCTAAATCCCTGGCCCCCTTTCCTCCAATTTTTAAATTTCCCTCTCATAATTATTCCTTGGACAACAAACCCCTTGGAGGCCTCACAATCAGCTTATCCTACAAGGAACTTAGACTACTATCAGGAGGACCTGAAGGCAGAGGAATTCAAAGGAGAAAGGTCTCCCTTCCATAATATATAGCAAGTCACAAGGTCTCATTAGGCTCGTCCGTAGAGTAACCCACAGAAGCTGCAAGTCTCTGACCAAGCTTCTTGGATCCATAGTTGTCCTTTGATGAAGAGCAGGCTTTCTACAGAGATAGGTTGTTTCCTCCTCTGGTTTTCAGATCCTTGCCAAGAAGGTGTACACCCTCTACTCACTGGCTATGCAGCAGCTCTCCAGACAGGACCATTATGATTTCGGCCTCCGCGCCCTCACCTCCCTTGTACGCTACGCTGGCAAAAAGCGCCGCCTACAGCCAGATCTGACCGATGAAGAGGTAGACCAAAGATAAAGGCCCTTGGACCTTAACCTCCATTGTCACTAGGTCTATATTTTGTCACCAAAGCTTTACAGATCTTTTCTTTCCTCAGATTGAGATTCCTACTTTCATGCCTGTCTCACCTAAGTTCTGCTTATCGTATTATTAAGAACTAACTCTAGTTTATCTGTTGTTCTTGGCACTAGTACCTAGGTGCTAGCTCTTCAAGTTCGAGTCTCCATCTTTTCCATCCAGGTTCTGCTGCTCTCAATGAGAGATATGAATATTGCTAAGCTAACCTCAATCGATGTGCCACTGTTCAACGCCATTGTGCAAGATCTTTTCCCCAGCATTGAGCTGCCAGTCATTGACTATGGCAAGGTATTTGCTTGTTAATATTCTTCCTGACCTCATTCATGAATGTGCAGTACAGGAAGTGAAAACTTGGTTTCCAGGCCTTATTCTGCCATCACACTGTGACTTTGAGTAAGAGAGCTAACCTTTAAAATATCAGGCTTCTTTATAATATGATAAACACCTACTCACACATTCCATTCTCTGACCACATCTCGCTGCCCTCCTGATTTACCTGCTTAGGAATGTCCATGCAGCAGTCTTTAGTCCGAAGGCTGAAATCTGTAATCCAATGCCCACTAGCTATCCTTGTTTCTCTTTCTCTCCTCATTCTGATATTTGGGAGAAGAGAATATAGGCAGCCCTTTGAAATGTGAAAGCAGTTGGAGAGTGGAAAGGGAATTGTAGAAACTATAAGAACTTTCGCCTTTGCTGTTATTCTAGTCTCAATATCCTGAACAGTCCTTTCAATTGAAACCATTAAGGTGCAGGATAAAAACATAAAAATACATATTTTTAAGGCATTGCCAAGCTGGCAAGAATTCCAAGGTTTGGAGGTGGAGGAGTAAACCCAGGAACCCTGGGAGGTAGCTGGTTTACAAAGCTTCCTTACCCACCAGGTCTGGCAGTAAAACAGAAAACACAGTTCCACATAAACCTCAAGGGACAGTAAATGGGAAAATTCGAACTCTGCCATTTAGACATATACAGAAATGAAGCTTGTCTGAGCTCTGATGATGGAAAGAAGGGGTAAAATCTCCTTTGAGATTTTTTAACCATATTGCTTATGGTCAAAATTTATTCTACTGTGTAATTAAAAACAAAAAACAAAAACCCTCAAATTTAGATTTTAAGTAGTTCTAGGTTGTTAGCGCCCCCAGGTGACTGAAAGAAGCAAAAGCAACTTATTTCTGGAGGGTTGAAATGTCAATTTGTGCCTCAAAGAATTCCTACAGATAAAAGTCCAAGAAAATGGGCAACTTATAGTCAAATATCACACCATGCATAAAGAAACAGATACTATGAATGGAAACAATAAGGAATCAGGGAAAAAATAAGGAGAGGAATCAGATCCATGTAGACTCTGGATATTGAAATTAATAGGTTCTGAATTTTATATTAGCTGTGTTTTACCCAGGACTGTGGGAGGCTTAGGCAGATGGATCACAAGTTTGAGTCCAGCCTGGGCAACACAGCAAGTTAGTAAGACCCTTCTCAAAATAACGACAACAACAAAAAAATTAAATTGCTGGGGGTGTAGCTCAGTGCAAAGGCCTTGGTTCAAACTCCAATATTGCAAAAAACAAAAACTGTTTCTTAATATGTTTAAAGAAATAAAACAGAAGCTTGAAACTCTGAGCCAGGAACAAGACATTTAAACAAAGAAGATTTGAAAAAGAAACCCCAGAATTTCTAGAATGAAAAATTATGATAGTTGGGGAAATGAAAAACGATCTCAATAGAGTGACAGAGGACATGCAGTTCCAGAAAGTGGATTAAAGTCAACTACAACTGCACTAAAATTTTTATTTGTAAAGGGATAAGGAGAATGGGAGAGGAGATGAACATTTACATTTTAGATATGGGGAGCAAATGGGTTAAGCCCAAGAAAGCTGGAAGCAGGGAAGATTAGAAGGTAATCTTCACAGAGTTCAGCATTTGTGAGGTTAGGTACCTGGAAGTGAGAGTGGACAGGGAGAGTAAATGAGGTCTAACCAACATATGGAGGGCGGGAGGCAGATTGCTTGCTCTAGCAGTCTCTAGATCTCCCTCTCTCTGACCCTTGCCAGCTCTGTCTCCCTCCTGGAGCCAAGGCCTAGAGAGCAGGTATCAAGACTGGGCACACTGGGTGTAGGGGAAAGCAGAAGCAAGCTCTTTACAGAGAGGGATGAAAGGAATTCATACATATTGGCCACTGAAACCTTTTGCCTTTTTTCATCTCTTACGTCCCAGAGTCGGGGTAGCCAGACTGGAAACTGGAGGAGTTATCTCTGAGGAGTCTCTCCAGCCCAAGAGGAATGACCCAGACATTGACAAGGAAATTTCTCAAGAAGGTCCCCACATTCAATCTTCCATTTGGCTTTTTACCCTCCACGTTCCTACACAAGCAGAAAACCGAGGCTCACCAGATACCTGGGGGAAGCCTCAAATACAAAAGATGACAAACAAATGGGGAAAAGTGAATGGAAGAAAATAATGGAGAGAGAAAAAAGTTTTTAAAAACCACCACCACTGGCTAAGCATGGTGGCATACCTGTCGTCCCAACTACTGAGGAGACTGAGGCAGAAAGAGCTCAGGAGTTTGTGGTCAGCCTGGGCAACATAACAGTATCCTAGCTCAAAAGAAAAACAAAAACAATAAACAAACAAGCCCCCTCAACTATCATTTCATTCAAAGAATGAAATACCAATGAAATGCTTTTTGAAAAAGATGATTCTGCCCGAAACCCAAGCACTATGGGAGCAGAGGCAGGAGGGTTGAAAGTTTAAGCCCAGCCTGAGCAGTTTAGCATTTTAGCAAGATCCTGGCTGACAACTATTCCTGAGAATAGAGTAGAGAAGGGAAAAATGAGCTAAGTTTCAAAAGCCAGTCTAAAGCAGATAGTTCCCCCAAACAGTACTTCTAAGAGTAGAAACAAAGAAAAGGGAGGGAAGATAGTGAGACAATTCAAGAAGAATCCTTAGAGCTGAAGGGTATGTTCCAAAATGAAAGTGCCCACAAGTGTATAAGCCAATTCTAAATTTGTATGCATTTAATGATATGATATAGCTACAAAAATCTATAAAACAAAGTAGACAATTAAATTTATAACCCTTATGGGAGATCTTGACAATTCTCTCAGAAGTTGGTAAAGAAAATATTAAAAATTCATAAATATATAGATTTGAATGATTTTAGCAGGTTTGAGCTGACACGTATAGAACATTCTAGCCAACAGCTGCAGATATACATTCTTCTCAAATGTACATGGAACATTTACCAAAATTAAATATATTCTAGGCTATTAAGTATAAGTGTAAGAATCATAAATTTCAAATGATTAAAATCGTGCAGAGGATGATCTCCAACCACAATAGAATTAAATGATAGAAACCAATAACAAAATATAATTAGAAAAAAGCACATGTCTGGAAATTAGGCAGTGCAATTCTAAATAACTCCTAGGTCAAAGACAAAATTAGAGAGTAACTGAATAAATAAAATGTGTCATTAAACTTATGATATGATGCTAAACCCACACTCAAACAAATACCAATAAAAGGGCCGGAGATTTAGCTCAGTGGTTCAGTTGCCTACCTTGCAAGCTCAAGGACCGGAGTTCAATCTCTGGTATCAAAAAACCAAAAAACAATAATTCTCAGCTAGTGGAAGGAAGTAATATTGGTGAGGCTTCTAACAGTGTGTTTGAAAATTATAAATAAAGATCTTACATCTACTTGAAAAAATGTGGTTACATAAGCTGTGTGTTTAAAAGTGTCATGCTATCTGGAATTAATCCATGTGGATCAGATTCTATAAGCACTGGGCTGGGGATTTAGCTCAGTGATTCTGCTGCCTGCCTCATAAGTGCAAGGTCCTGAGTTCGATCTCTGGTACCCCCTCCCAAAATGATTCTATACGCATTACTTTTTAACTTGGGTGATAATTTTTATAACATTATGGCTGAAGGTGCAACTCAATGATAGAGCACTTGTCTAGCATGTGTGAGACCATGGGTCTAATCTCTAGCACTGGAAAAAAAAAGCCCAGCTCTCCCACCAAACTGTGAGCTCTGCAGTGAGAGGGAATCCATTCTGTTCCCAGATGTATCCCCGTGTTGCTAGCACAGTGCTCTACAATACCATAGAGACTTAAGCTCTATTTGTTGAGTAATAGACACAATATGTAGAGCTACATGTCAGACATGGTATGTACATATGAGGAAAACGAGGCTTGGAGAGGCAATTTATTCAGAATCACATGGCTGCAAGCTGATGAACCAGGCCAGCTGACTCCAAGGCCCAATCTCTTAACTCCATGACCCACAGCTTCCCAGTGAACGAACAAGTATCAGAATGTAAAGGGCTCTAGTGTCACTTTAAATAGTTTGAATATATCTTCCCCTGAATTGAGGGAGTTCTGAAAGTCCTTTGGAGTCCTCATGCTGTTTCTTCTACTTGCTGTATTTTCCCTTCCCTCAGCTGCAGGAGACTATTGAGCAGGAGATTCGAGATCGAGGCCTGCAAAGCACACCCTTCACCCTCACCAAGGTTTTCCAGTTGTATGAAACCAAGAACTCCCGTCACTCTACCATGATAGTGGGCAACTCGGGCAGCGGCAAGACAACCTGCTGGCGCATCCTGCAGGCCTCCTTGTCCTCCTTGTGCCGCGCTGGAGACCCCAACTTCAACATTGTTAGAGTATGTAATTGAGTATGCAGTGGAGTCACTGGCAAAGACTTGAGTAGGAGGAAGGCAATGGAAGTTGGGGGCAAGAACAGGAAGGTGGGGCAAGCACCTCCAGGTCCAACAAGGCCTAGGAGAGATGAGAGAGACACTAGGGGCTGAGTAAAATGGGGACCTGGAGAGTTTGTCTACCAGCAGCTCTAAAGCCCCTTCTGCTATCATTTTCAGGAATTCCCATTGAACCCTAAGGCACTCTCCCTAGGGGAGTTATATGGAGAATATGACCTCAACACTAACGAATGGACAGATGGCATTTTGTCCAGTGTCATGCGGATGGCATGTGCAGGTATCCAAGGGTCGGTGGGGTGCGGAGAGCAAATACATAAATATCTTAGGAGAGTGGGTAGGAGTGGGGAGTCTGGAGCACCAGTGGTGGCAGAGAGTCTGGAGACAGGAAGATGCAGTGTGGGAGAGGTGCCTGGAAATGCAGAAGTCCGGGGTGCGAGGAGTAAGAGTGGGGTAGGAGGGCTGGGGGAGGACTCTCCTGGTTTCCTTATCATCCACCTGCTACTAAGATGAGAAACCTGATGAGAAATGGATCCTTTTTGATGGCCCTGTGGACACACTGTGGATCGAGAGCATGAATTCTGTCATGGATGACAACAAAGTGCTGACCCTGATCAATGGAGAGCGCATTTCAATGCCTGAGCAGGTGAGGGAAAGTGAGTTCTGCCTAGGGCCCCGCAGGAGACAGCAGAGGGTATCAGGAGGGGTGGAGAGAAGAGCCTGGTCCTCAGTGAAGAGTAAGTGCTGTAGGAGAGACCTGGGGCAGCATGAATGGATTCAGATAAGTTTCAACTGGAAAAGAATGCTTCGCCTAAGCTGGGCTCAGTGCACTGGGCCTAGCATGTGTGAGGCCTGCGTTCAATCTCCAGCACCACCAAAAAAGGGGGAAAAAAAGGAAGGAAGGAGAGAAGAGGGAGAGGAGAGGAAAACAGAAGAGAAAAGGAAAATAGCTTTGCCTATCATGAATATTGTGAACAATTAATTGTGCAGAAAAGAATTTTGTGTAGTCCCCATGTTAGGAGTTCATGGGCTATCATACCTACCATTTTCCGCAATGATGGCCAGAAAGTGATTTTTCCTAAGCATAGCCTTAAATCAGCTCGAATTTCTTTCAGCAAGAAAACTATTTGTAAACCTCAGATCTGTATTCTTCTTGTCATAGCTTGTGCTTGATAGAAACAAACACACCTTGGAACAGCTGGGGTGTTTCATTACTACTGACTGGGGCCTAGCGGAAGATGAAGTTCTGACAAAAATATATCCTTAGGTGTCTCTCCTGTTTGAAGTGGAGAACCTGGCAGTGGCCTCCCCGGCCACTGTCTCTCGCTGCGGGATGGTCTACACTGACTATGTAGACCTGGGATGGAAGCCCTATGTTCAGTCATGGCTAGAGAAGAGGCCAAAGGTATGATAGAATTGAGGAGAGGGAGACTGACCAAGAGGTCTACAGCACACAAGAGCAGATGAATAAAGAGCCTTTTCTCGTTTACCTCTAGAACGAGGTAGAGCCCCTTCAACGCATGTTTGAAAAGTTCATCAGCAAGATCCAAGCCTTTAAAAAAGACAACTGCAATGAGCTGGTGCCCCTCCCTGAGTACAGTGGCATCATCTCCCTTTGTAAGCTGTACTCAGCCCTGGCCACGCCAGAGAATGGGGTAAGGGGAAGGCCTGGGCCAGGGCAAGGGCAGGAGGGAAGAGCTCATAATCACACAGGGTCCATGTTAATTTGAACACGAGGCTTGAGTGGAGCAGAGATTCCGAGAGAAGGCCTTTTCAGTGACCATGGAGGCAGGGAGAGGTGGGTGCATGCATGTGTGTGTGTGAGTGCATGTATGTGTGCATATGTTATACTCGTGTCCTGGGCTAGAAGCCCAGGCTAGGGATTCTAAATAGAACAGGGCAAGGGTTGGGAGCATAGCTCATGCTGTAACATATTAGAGGCCCCCCGTTCCATCCTCAGCACTGCATATACATCATACACACATATATCGTACATACATACATACCAGAACACAGTGGGGTCTCAGAATAGTTTCTCATTTATATTTTGGGGGCTGAGGATAGTTTGTTTAACTCCTCATTTCTCCATCTTTCCAAAATACAAATATTGATTTTTGGTATGCGTGAGGCCCTGGGATATCATTTTTGTTGGGAAAAGCTCCCAGCCTAACTTGATGAAGAATATTAAAAAACTTTCGATTAACTGATGTTTAGAAAAATTTTGTTCAGTTTAGAATGATAGAATAGGGATCAAAATTTGGAATTTTGTATCAAGATTATATTGCTGCCTGGAAATGGTTTGTAATTGTTTGTTTATTTTGCAGCATTGGAGACCAAACCTAGGGCCCCATGCATGCTTAGGCAAGCACTCTACCTCTGAGCTATATCTCCAGCCCCTTGTAAATGTTTTTAAAGACACTGCGGGATAACCAAACTCAACAATTAAGATCTGTAGCAATATAAGTCACTCCTTGTATAGTTAAAGTAAATTAAAATATGTAGATGGATTGTAAGGTAAGGTGTAGAAAGAGAACAGTTGTACTGTTGGTGGGATGTTGGTGCTGAGGGACCCCCTGGGAAGGGACGCCTCCTGGGGAGCAGACAGGAAAACAGCCTTCAGCAGTCACTTAGGGCTTCTCTTGCACTCTGCTGGACAGAGTGAGGTGGTGGAGTGGCAAGGCAGGGGAGTGGCTGACAGATGGCAGGACGCCATCTGCATATAGACCCTCTTTACTGCAGCAGAGTGAGGGAGCTGAGATGTGCTATATGTGGCAGGTGGGCCTGGAATAACCCAATAAGGATTCTGGATTTGGATACGGCAGGACATAGATTCTCACCATACTTCCCTACCTACATTTTGAGGATTAAGGGTTATTCTTAGACCACATCCAACATTCTGGGTTGGATACCTCCTGTATATCACATTATCAGTAATTCATTCAGATCCTGTTGTCAACAGCTCCCACCCATGGGACTGTGACTGTTTCCTCTGGAAGGCCAGGGGTGGCGGGAAGGGTGCTGAGATTGCTGTTGTGTGCCTGTGCTCCCTGGGAGGCCTTTGTGGTCAGGCAGACCTGTGGTTCCTTGTACCCTCCCAGAGGAACAGAATCTGCCACGGATCCCCTGGACAGGGGTTTGAGAGCATGAGCTCCAAATAGGCTATATCCTCTATTACAGTAGATGTATTTTAAAACTTAATTTTTATTTATATAAGTAACCACTAGATATTATTTTCTTTCTAAAATTAAAAATTTCCACGTAAAGCTCAAGTTCTTTTTGTTCTCCTTGTGCCTTGTGATCCTGAGTCCTACCCCCTCCATTAGAGCAACTATTATAGTGTGTTCACGTGTCATCCAGACCTTTAAAAAAATTTTTTTTACACACAAGCCCATAGGTATCCATAGAAAATGTAGTGTTTAGAAAATAGGCTGTTATATATAATATGCTTGTTAAACCAATGATATGTTTTTGAGTCTTGTATTGCCTTGTGTAGATTTATATCTTTGCATTAATAGCTGTGTACTATTCTACATACATTACATTTGATGCATTTGATTACATTTGATACATTTGATGTTGAGGTCATCTCTAGCTTTTTTGCAGTTACAAACAAGTGAACACAACTGGACTTGACTTCTTAAATGACTGTGGGTGTTTCTCCAGGATAGGCCTGGTATGGGCAGATGACAGCTGTGTTGTAAGATTTAGCAGAAAGGAAGCTTAGTACAACTGCTGAGCAACAAGAAGTTTCAGGTTTTATAAAGCCTTTTGTAGGTTGCAGATGAACTGTCCCATTTGGAAGACAACCATGTCATTTTTCAAATAGAACCAGGAAAGGAGGAAGGCTGTAAGGCTTTGGGATGATCTGGTAAAGCAGCCCCCTCCATCACTTATAGGCATGTCCTCTTCTTCCATCCAGGTGAACCCAGCTGATGGTGAGAACTATACAACTATGATAGAAATGACATTTGTGTTCAGCATGATCTGGTCTGTGTGCGCCTCTGTGGATGAGGATGGCCGCAAGAAGATCGATAGTTACCTTCGTGAAATTGAGGGTTCCTTTCCCAATAAGGTCAGGGCCCTCAAAACCAGGTGTCTCATGTGTCCTATTTTTCTAGAACCTGCTGGTATCCCAGACCCTCAGCTTTCACCTGAGCTTCTTCCTGCTGAGCCAGCTCTCTTTCTTGTCCCTGGGGGTCTGTGAGCCCTTCTGGCTGGGGAAGCTGGTGGAAGGCTTTGGCAACTGACACATGCCCTCCTTAGGACACAGTGTACGAGTATTTTGTAGACCCCAAGATGCGGAGTTGGACATCATTTGAGGAGAAACTTCCCAAGAGTTGGCGTTATGCTCCAAAGTGAGAGCAGGGTCTGGGGTATACACAGGACCTGGGGCCACAGTTGGTGGGAGATGGGATAACTGGGAAGGAGCCCAAAAGCAATAACCAGTTATAAAAGGAGAAGGTGGATCCTAGAGAAGAGATGACTCCTGGGTACAGAAATCAGGATCTACAGAACTTGGGACAGGGTCTTTAAAGACAATTCCCCATCCCCAGGCCCCACAGAAGCAGAGTTGGAAGGAAAAATGAAGTGGGAGCTGGGAAGAAGTGGGCCAATGACCCCTGAGATGCTGTTCTCTTTTCTTTGCTAGCGCCCCCTTCTATAAAATCATGGTGCCCACTGTCGACACTGTTCGCTACAAATACCTAGTGAACACCTTGGTGGCCAGCCACAACCCCATCCTGCTGGTGGGTCCTGTGGGGACTGGAAAGACCTCCATAGCACAAAGCGTTCTGCAGTCCTTGCCCTCCAGTCAGTGGTCAGTGCTCACTGTCAACATGTCTGCACAGGTGTGTTCAGGGCCCCCGGGCCAGACTGCCAGTTCTCCAGTTGTCTCTGTCTTTTGCTCTGCCCTGGAATGCAAGTGTCTGGTTAATGCTCCTCTCTGACTCGATATTTCTCTTGAGGACCCAAGCATTCTTTTTGTGCTTTTACTATCAGACCACATCCAACAATGTACAGAGCATCATCGAGAGCAGGGTGGAGAAGCGAACCAAGGGTGTCTATGTGCCATTTGGGGGCAAAAGCATGATCACCTTTATGGATGAATTTAATATGCCAGCTAAGGACATGTTTGGATCCCAGCCACCCCTGGAGCTGATCCGCCTCTGGATTGACTATGGCTTCTGGTATGATCGTACAAAGCAGACCATCAAGTACATTCGAGTAAGCATCCTGAGGATCTGTTCTTGGGCCTCTGTTCCCTCCTCATGTGGTTCAGTGCCCACTCCATGGGAACCCCAGGCTCTAGTCCTACAATTCCTTCCTGCAGCAGGGGCTGTACATCTGGTCCCTAAGTTATTGGACCCTGTTTTGAACTCTTCTCATGACCCTACTCTGCACTTTGTGACCAAAAGCTCCTGTCCTTCAACTGCCACCCCATTTCCAGGCCCGTCACGTTCTCACACTGCGCTTGTCCTCCCCCAGCACTGACTTGGAGTCCAGCTCCTAACTCCACACCTCCAGACCTCCACTGCCTCTCACACTGGCAGTCGCTGTTGGTTCTCTGATCCCCACCCACCACCCAGGCATCTCCCTCAGTCCTGGCTTTTCTCCCAGGGGATCTGAGCATCTTGTTTGTTTTTCTTTCTTTAGTGAAGGGGCAGTGGCCATTCTGGCATGATTTCTGGGTGCCCATCTGTCTGACACCCAGGGTGAAAAACCACCTAATAATAAATTTGTATACTTCTAGGAGAGCTCAGGCATGCACACGTGCACTAGATACATACAATTTAAAAAGAAAGAGAAATGTCATATGAATAAATAACATAATGAAAGTGTTATTTAACTTCCCTGCATTTTCTAATTTGGGTAGGAGGATTAAAACAATGAAATAAAGGCAAATACATTATTTTGATAATTCTAAAAAACTCTCCACAATCACTTTTTCTCTTCACCTTTTTTTGCTGCATTACTCCACGTTTTTCCCTTCTCATCCTGTCCCTGTATCTCTTCCCGTTTGTCCTTCCGCTTAGTGCCTTCTTCCCTGCTCCTTTCGTACCTTCTCTATTTTTTCGTTTAAATTTAATTTGACACATAATAATTGTACATATATATAGCACACTGTGTGACATTTCATTATACCTATACAAGACAATTAGCTCACCCTTCACCTCAAGCATTTATCTTGGGGGGGATTTGTGTTGGAAACATTCAAAAGCCTCTATCCTAGTGACTTGGAAGCATCTTCCCTATCCTGTGCCTCAGCTCATCCCCTCCTCCCACCTGTCTCCCTGCCTGTCTTGTCTTTGCTCCCCAGGATATGTTCCTGATGGCTGCCATGGGCCCTGCTGGAGGTGGTCGGACTGTCATCTCCCCGAGGCTACAAAGTCGCTTCAACCTCGTCAACATGACCTTCCCCACCGTGAGGCTGCAGTGGGGACTATTATGAGGGAGCTGAACAAGGCAAAACCGTCCCTGTCCTGAGAGCAAGGGGGCAGATCATGGAGGGAGCTAAGGGACCCTGAGCAGAGCTGCATGTAGGCAGCTGTGACACATGCTGTAGGGGCCCTTGCTGGCCTGACCCAGGAGAGCAAAGAATGGAAGTCATGGCTTTCTGGCTCTGGAATGTGGGCAGAGAATGAGGTGGGGCCCAAATAGACTCAGGAAGGTGGATCCTGCAAAGTTGAGAGCCAGAAGCAGTGCCAGAATTAGGGGGAGGTAAGTGAGGCACTCACCAAGGTACAGGATTTAAAGGGATACCCAAAAAATGTAATACTTTTAAAAAGTTAAAATTAAGTAGGGTGTAGGAGTGCATGCCTGTAATACTAGCACTTGGGAGGCTGAGGCAGGGGGATTACAGTTCAAGGCCAACCTGGTCAATTTAGTGAGACTCTGTCTCAAAATAAAATTTTAAAAGGGCAGAGGGGGATGTATCTTAATGACAGAGCACTTGCCCAGTGTTTGTGAGCCCCTGGGCTCAAACCCCAGTAGCATACACAAAAAAAATTTCTTCTCCTTATTTCTAAGTTTCTTGTTTCTTTTCTTTTTCTCCTTCTCTCCCTCCTACCGCCCCTCTTCCCTGCCTGCTCTCCACTGTCTCTTCCTTTCCCCTTTAAGTTCTGCTGCTGAGACAAGCTCTGCATTTGCCTCATTCTGGTTCTCATCCCGGCTACAAGGCCATGAGCCTTGGAAAGTGAGTCTGAGCTCTCTTTCTAGGAGTCCCAGATCATTCGAATATTTGGCACCATGATCAACCAGAAGCTTCAGGACTTCGAAGAAGAGGTAAAGCCTATTGGGAACATAGTGACAGAGGCCACCTTAGATGTGTATAATACAGTGGTACAACGCTTCCTCCCCACGCCTGCCAAGATCCACTACCTCTTCAACCTTCGTGACATCTCCAAGGTGAACATCATGTGGCCTTTCCCTTTGCCTGGTCCAGCCTCAGAGACATTTGCTTCTTTTCAAAATAGGCCTTAGTCATAGCAAACAGCATGCCCAAAGTCACCTTATCCTAAAATGCCATTCTCTGGCCTTACCTCCAAAACACCTGGGAATTCCTTTCTTCTCTCTACCCCAATCCATCACTTCTCTTCCCCAGGTGTTCCAAGGCATGCTTAGAGCTAACAAGGATTTCCATGATACCAAGGCCAGCATAACACGACTCTGGATTCATGAGTGCTTCAGGTGACTAGTGGCTTCGTCAGCCTTGCTTCCAGTTTCTGCCTTCAACACGCCCCCCTTCCCCAGGGTCATTCTCTTCTCCGGTCCAGGTCTCACTCCATCTGCCTCTCAACAGAGTCTTCTCTGACCGACTGGTTGATGCGACAGACATGGAAGCCTTTGTGGGCATCATAAGCGATAAACTCGGCTCCTTCTTTGACCTCACATTTCATAACCTCTGTCCAAACAAACGTACTCCTATCTTTGGTGAGCCTGTGACTCTCAGGGGGCTGAGGGTAGAAGGAGGGTCAGGGCCTGGAGCCCTGCCCTGAAGGAGGCTCTGGGGAGGACCAGGAGTTGAAGACTTGACACCCTCCTACCCTGGCCCAGGGGACTTCCTGAAGGAGCCAAAGGTTTATGAAGACCTGACAGATCTGATGGTGCTGAAGACAGCCATCGAGACTGCCCTAAATGAATACAACCTGTCTCCCTCTGTGGTGCCAATGAAGCTGGTGCTCTTCCGAGAGGCCATTGAACACAGTGAGCAAGCACTTGCTACTCCCTGCCTCTCCCCCTCAATATGTGGCATTTCTAAGGAAAAAGGTGTCCCTTCCCAGCCTTCCCCCTAATCAAGTCTGAAAGTTGTCTTCTTTTGGACCCCAGATGCCTTCATGGCAATGGATATTTAATATGCAAGGTGAAGTTAGGGCCAGGGATTTAGCTCAGGGGTTCTGTTGCCTGCCTTGCAAGCACAAGGTCCCAAGTTCGATCCCCAGTATGGAAAAAAAAAAAAAAAAAAAAAAAAAAAAAA